TTCCTGATTCTCCTTCCTTGTGTAAATTGATGCACCTGGTGTACTTCTATAACAATTCAAGACTGTTGCATTGAAATGAATAAACCGATAGAGTCAAATCTTAATCTCAATTAAAGCCATTGAAAGTAAATTTTACCTATGCATTACACAGACTAAAGCTGCACAATCCTTTAAAAGTATTTTTTAACTTTCACTGAAAATGCCCAAATTTTCATTAAATAAATCTTCGATTGTCATTTGAAACTCTGCCAAGAATAAGGAAAAAATAAGCCTACATTATGAATATGATATTGTTGATTCGGTAAGTTTCCGACAACATTTCAAGCAAGTCATAAAAATCACACCGTTTTCGTGTTTTTAACTTTCAAACTGAGTCATAAGTTTGATTGTTAGGTCATGACTTACGATTCTTATTAGATTTTAAATCAATTCTCAGTCGGGGTTGTTGGTTTTCACCGCGTACATTTAATACACAAATACTTGATAATTTACATTGTTTGTTCAATAATTCCTACAAGAACGGGTCGTATACTTCTCTTAAATAAATCTATACATCATATTACCTTGATACAACTAATATGAAACCGATTTTTGACACGATATTCACTATAATGACTATTCGATGACTATCAACACTCTGCTTTCTTCTTCCAATATGGCCGCAACAAAAAGCCTCGTTTTCAAATTAATCGTATATCGAACCCGATTCAAATACATAATACACAAACAAACAAAGGAAAAAAAAAACAAACTTGAATTTACAAGTTACTTGAATATGCTTCCATATAAATGATATAAATATGATCAATTATGGCTTTGTTATTCATGAGAAGAAGATTTTTAAAGAATTTTCCTATATATTTCTATGTAAAACATTTGGTCGGCCATTGTGGCCCCGCCCTACCCCCGGGGGTCATGATTTGAACAAACTTGAATCTACACTACCTGAGGATGTTTCCATATAAATATGATCAATCATGGCATTGTTATTCTTGAGAAGAAGATTTTTAAAGAATTTTCCTATATATTTCTATGTAAAACTTTGGTCGGCCATTGTGGCCCCGCCCTACCCCCGGGGGTCATGATTTGAACAAATTTGAATCTACACTACTTGAGGATGCTTCCACATAAATATGATAAATTATGGCTTTGATATTCATGAGAAGAAGATTTTTAAAGAATTTTCCTATATATTTCTATGTAAAACTTTGGTCGGCCATTGTGGTCCCGCCCTAAACCCCGGGGGTCATGATTTGAACAAACTTGAATCTACACTACCTGAGGTTGTTTCCATATAAATATGATCAATCATGGCTTTGTTATTCTTGAGAAGAAGATTTTTAAAGAATTTTCCTATATATTTCTATGTAAAACTTTGGTCGGCCATTGTGGTCCCGCCCTACCCCCGGGGGTCATGATTTGAACAAATTTGAATCTACACTACCTGAGGATGTTTCCATATAAATATGATCAATCATGGCTTTGTTATTCTTGAGAAGAAGATTTTTAAAGAATTTTCCTATATATTTCTATGTAAAACTTTGGTCGGCCATTGTGGTCCCGCCCTACCCCCGGGGGTCATGATTTGAACAAAATTGAATCTACACTACCTGAGGATGTTTCCCCATAAGTTTCATCTTTCCCGGCACAGTGGTTCTTGAGAAGAAGATTTTTAAAACAAGCCATCAAATTTTAATTAATTCCCAATTATCTCCCCTTGAATGAGGGCGTGGCCCTTCATTTGAATAAATTTGAATCCCCTTTACCCAAGGATGCTTTGTGGCAAGTTTGGTTGAAATTGGCCCAGTGGTTCTTGAGAAGAAGTCGAAAATGTGAAAAGTTTACAGACAGACAGACAGACAGACGGACAGACAGACGGACAGACAGACGGACAGACGGACAGACGGACGCCGGACAAAATGTGATCAGAAAAGCTCACTTGAGCCTTCGGCTCAGGTGAGCTAAATATGGAAGCAAGTACGGTTGCAAAAATCATAGTAGAGGAGGTGATATGTCGAATTGGTACACCAGCAGTCATTCACCCAGACCAAAGTAAGCATTTTGAAAGCAAACTGTTCTTTGCTTGGAATTCGAAAGACACACACAACGCATATCATCCCCAATCGGATGGTATGGTGGAACGTTTCAATTGGACTCTCACAACTATGCTCAGCAATGTTGTTAATGAAAATCACCCGGATTGGGATAAACATTTACTTTATGTCATGATGGCATACAGGTCCACAATTTATGAAACCACTGGTTTTCCGCAAAATTCATTGATGCTTGGAAGGGAGGTTTGCAAGAAATTGCAAGAAAGACTTTAAATGACATAAAATTGTTCGCACAAATAAAAAAAACAAGACATGGTTCGTCAGAGACATTATCATTGCAGAAAATTGAATTGGGTTTATTTCAAGGAAAATGATGAGGTTTATGTTTATTTTCCGATAAGTCCCCAAAATTCACGAGTTATTGATATGGACCATACAAAATCAATAAGACAATGTCTGTTGTAATGCACATGGTGAATTGCGGAGTACATGGGTCAAATCAGGTCATACATGTTGACAGTTTGAGACTGAAACAACATCAAACATTAATTGTAGAAATCCAGATGGTGTAGAACAAAGAGATGATGGAATTCTTGACAAAAACTAATCGCTGACTGATGACATAAATTATGAGAAAGCAATTGCAAAAGAAACAGTTATTGAAGAGCATAAGGGTTGTACTGGTGATATAGGTTCTGTTAATAATGAGGAGTTGCCTACACGACAGCTTAGAAACAGAAGGCCTCCAATTTGTTAAAAAGATTATGAAACTGTGTACTAGTAATATTTTGGAATAACATACACGTTTGTCTATTTCTGATAACGCAAAACAATGGTGAAAACCAAGTTAACCAAACGGAGTGGGACAAGGAAGTGTCCAATGTGTTAAGAGTTGTTTCGAGGAGATAGCGAGTTTTCCGTGCATGTTGTACAATGCACCATGAAAGAACATGCTTGTGAATTTTCTTTACATCACAAAAAGAAAGTAACGTTAAGAGACATATGAAGAGAGCACATGCAGTTTAATGCAAAGTCCAATGCCTTTGAGACAGAAACCTGACAGAGCCAGTGAAGGCAAGGCAAAGTACACAGGAAAAATAATTGGCTCTCGCAGGATCCTGGTGACTTCCTTAAGACAGAATCTACTTAGAATGATACAGCTTTAGCCAGTAACCAGAGTACATCCATTGAAACAGTAAATAAACCAGACTCTGATATTATGGTTGAGAGCGTTTTCCGCAAGAAAATATCTCCAATACTTCCAGAGAAACGACCATCAAATGATGCTTAACAACTGACTGAGAGTAAGAAATCTATGATTGACACTGGCACACAAAATGAGTTTCGTAAACAGAGAAATTTAGAGAGGGCTCAGTTGATATTGAAGAAACTACAATTGAGAAATTTATTTTATATTAGAGCTCACATAACCATGTCCAACACAGGGAATGTTAACCAAAGTATGGTTCTTTTGGTTACTTGTTTATTGCTAAATTTGTCTAGCTTTAAAGAACCAGAAGTCTCTGTCGAGACTGTAGCTCTACTGGTTTATACTTATAACAAAGGAAAAGAAAAGTAGCAGTTGGGACTTGAAACTTTAAACAACAATAAATAGAAAAATGATCTTTGATTAATTCACTATTTGTTGCATTATTGCAATAAGACTACAACTGTATGAGTAGCTTTAAATAAAATTTTAAAGAATTTTCAAATTTAGTTAGCATGGCAACGTCATTCATGAAAATAAATTAAAAAAAATCAATAGTCTATCTGCGTGCCACATTATATTATAATCAAATCAAAACTGTATTTGTAATAGCATTTTAAAATTATTTTACATAAATTTCTATTTTTAGTTACCATGGCAACACCGTTCATTGAAATCAAAAATCGATAAAAAGAATTATGTATCTTAGTTTAGTCTACTTGTATGCAAAGTTATATTGAAATCAGACCAAAACTGTAGGAGGAGTAGCATTTTGAAAAATTGTTTACATACAGACGGACAGACAGACAGACGACGGACGCATTACTATCGCATAAGCTCGTCTGGTCTCTGACCAGTAGAGCTAAAAATATACTAAAGGATAAAAAAAAAGTTACCATTGGGGACGAATGTACACAGAGACGTGTTTTTTAAAATCTATTTCATCAACTGTTTTAGTGACCTGAATTAGAATCAAAAATGGTAAAATCTGACACCCCTTTCTAATACACTGTCTCACTAGTATAAAAGTAAGAGACATTGAAAGGTTGTGTCATTCCTGTTACAGCGGAGAAAAGATTAGGTAACATTATTTTCTAGGATATAAACTTCTTGACTCATACACTTGATCAGAATCCCGAATAGAGCCTAAGCTGTTCTATTGTTTGATATATAATTTGGCAAGCCAAAAGCCAGAGGTCTGGCAATTTTTCAGGAAGATCATACAATGTAAGTACTAGGGTTAGAGGCCCGATTAGAGCCGCCCTGTCCTTGGTGCTTTTGCATCTATTTTATTAATAGTATTAAAGAAGTTTAAGTTTACCTACGCTGTAACTAGCTAGGTGTATCTGATTCTTTCTTGATTTTTACCCAAGGCAGGGATACTTAGATAATATACATCTAATTATTGATTGAGAAAATTTGTTTGTCATTTTATCATTGTTAAATAAAGTAAGCGTTAAAAACTCAATTACATATTAAAAAACTAACTTCAAGTAATATCTGATGTCAAAATCAGATGCTTAATCAATCAAAACTTGATGAAACAAGTCAGTAAATTTCGTAAATGCAAATTAACCAATGTTTAAAGTATTACACTGTTAGACTGAAACTAAGTCCCACATCCTTACACGAAGTCTAAGTTGCGTTTAAACGTCAATGGCAGACATTACAAAATAATAGACACTATCAGCATTTGATATCGCTGTGAACGACACATATACATAAACAATTCAACTTACAAGCACCGGTGATAGGCACAGTCTTCAAGTCAAATCTCTGGATCCATGCGTTTTCCATGTGGGACTGCATACCGGAAGTCAAAGTTTTTGACAAAGTGTCTAATGTCCGGAAACCAGTCGGGTCATACACAATCTTTCCCGGAATGTCTCTCGTTGACCTATCGATCTTCCATATGCACGTGGGCGCCAAAATGTAATCGGGTATTTGGTATAGAGGAATGAGTCCTTTTGGTATGTTTCTTTATTATCCATTATAAAATAATTTAACTTCTTAATTGTAAAAATTAGTTATATCAGATAATCTTTGATAAAAAAAATAGATAATGAATGATATACAATTTCTCAACAAACGAAATCAAATGAAACAAAATACAAAATAAAACAAACATTAAAAATTGTACATACACAACATGAAAAATGCAGAAAATACGTATGACATACATGTACATAAAGACAAAACAAACGAATAAAACCAATCTTACATGTACCTCACATGAGGTGTAAAGGTAATTTTACCAAATCGCTTCTAGCGTACAGCCATCATGACTATAACCTGCATATAAAATGTAGGGTCTATTTAAAGGTACTTTGACACAGATTTTAAGTTAATATTTTCTGTATAATATCACGAATTATATATTTTAATAGCATTCACACAAAAATTAATTAAAAATCTTATTTCATTTAGAAGTTATTTAAACTTCAAATTTTTTGGCGGGTTTGATTGACATATCCTTGCACTTTCACAAATTTTACCTTTATGCTGAATCCTAAAGGAAAAGTGGCAATCTTGTTGTGTATAAATGAAAAATATTAATACTATAATCTATAATCCACTATAATTTGAGCGAGTGTCTATCGTTCTTTTAAGGAGTGGCTGGAGTAAAATCCTTCCGAGTTCAAAACCTGCACTCAAAAGAGAAAGTGTTGCATTTTTAAAAAACTGAAACAGTTGTTGGAGTTAAATCCTTCAAATCCTATTACTTTACAAAAATTACCTGTTCACAGGAAACTGTTTCTTGCAGATTCCGAAACATAAGAATATATATCCGGATTTCACAGTAGAAAACTTGAACTGAGGAGGCATCTTGGTGTAATCGATAAAAGGCATCGTCAAAACACGCGATTCTGAAGGTCTTTTTTCAAAATTAAAATTTACGTCGTCATCCGTGGTCGTTGCGTTGTAAATTGAATAAATTGTAAAGAATTTAGTAGAACTGACTTTTACGCATGCGTAGTATGTATAAAAAATGTCGCAATGCGGATAAATAAGACTAAACAAAGTTAATGTTTATATTAATCGATATAAAACACCTCTCCATGATTCCTACTATTAATAAAGACAGAAGAAAAACCAAAAACTGGTTTTCTTTGGCCTAACTTGATGAACAGTGCCAGGTAGTCATCCAAGCAGAACGAGACCTTACCTGTGGCTGTCCAATAAGTTAACAATGGAAGTGTTCGATAGTGGTGAAATGTTTTAAGTAAGTTACAAGCCTCAAACTGACCATTATTTCAGATATTAGACTCTCCTCGGCGCTAACGCGCCTCGGGTCGTCTAATATCTGACATAATGGACAGTTTTCGGCTTATAAGCATTACATAGTGTACAGTTTGGATCAAACCGCTTCCTGGATACAATGAAGCGCATTGAAGTGGTAAAATTTTCCGTTCGAATGGAACGTTTTGAGATATTTTTAGACCGTTTATTGACATCTTATGACACGCCCGTTTCGTTAGAAATTGATAAAACGTTCAATTTGTTTATTCGAATACCTGTAGAACAGGTTTTCCATAAATATAATAGCCAATGAAATTGACGGTCTAAATAAATACCGAGTAAACACGTGTTCGACTGAAACGTGTGTTGTGGTAACTGCAATAGACATGATAAGGTAAAAAATATGCACATATTTGTTGGGATTTGTGTTTTACAGAGGCGGAGAGTCTCTAACTCTCTCTTCTAATGTTTTCAAAGCTCCATTTCAGTGTAACTCATATTGCTTGTCGCGAAGAATGGGGTGTCCTAAAACATTACAATGAAGCGCATTGAAGTGGTAAAATTTTCTGTTTGGATGAAACGTTCTGAGTCATGTTTTGAACGTCAATTATAACATAATGACACGCCCATTTCTTTTGAAACGAAAAAGAAATATTCGTCGTAATGTCCACGGACACCCCGCTCTTCGTGACAAGCAACATGAGTTACACAGATATGGAGCTTTAAAAAAATTAGAAGAAAGAATTAGAGACTCCCCGCTTCTGTAAAACTCAAATTGCAACGAATATGTACATATTTTTGAACTTATCATGTCTATTGAAGTTACCACAACACATGTTTCGGTCGAACACGTGTTTACTCGGTGTTTATTTAGACCGTCAATTTGATTGGCTATTATATTTATGGAAAACCTGTTCTACGGGTATTCGAATAAACAAATTGACCGTTTTATCCATTTCTAAAGAAATGGGCGTGTCATAAGATGACAATAAACGTTCTAAAGATAGCTCAAAACGTTCCATTCGAACGGAAAATTTTACCACTTCAATGCGCTTCATTGTACGACGAATATTTCTTTCTTGTTTCTAAAAATATGGGCGTGTCATAATGTTGTTATTGGCGTTCAAAGCATGACTCAGAACGTTTCATCCAAACGGGAAATTTTACCACTTCAATGCGCTTCATTGTAACTCTACACTCCTTCATAACTACCGGTATACAGATGCATCAGGGAGTCCGTTTTTAACCTTTCTCTTCATAGATGTCACAGGTGATATTTAATTAGATATTTTGTTAATAATTTATATCTGATTAGTGTGCATTGCTAACCAAACATAGCGTTGTTTGTGTGAATGAGTGCCGTGTGTGAATGTTTTGTTTTGTCACGTGATGTTTCTATCTTAAGCTTACCAACCAACCAGAGGCCTGTTCAACAGAGCGAACGTTTGCGAGGGCTCACCAAATTTCCTTATACCTGCAATAGAAATGTTTGCGAGCGCTCGCTCTGTTGAACAACCACTATCTGATAATTATTGTGCTTGTATACTAACTTCGTGCACTACATAGGCACTTATCCCGCCAAATAAGATATCCATTACCTTGAGCTTCTGTAAATGTAAATACTAAAAAAAATATTCGATAATACGTAAAATATCTTATTGGCAGCGACGTGAATTTTCATGTTGTGTAATTTGTAACATTGTTTTATGTGCTGTAATTGTATCTTGTTAATGTGTGTGTTGTGAGTGTGTTCTCTATGTTTCTATTTTTCTTTTTGTTATCCACAATCAAACATCATAAAACTGAATCCAGCGTTTTCTGTAAAACAATTGACGCTGTGACATAGATAACTTTCGCATTTTGTTGTTTAGATGTAGATGTAAATTTATTATTTTAAAAGAAACTGTTCGACGCTCTCTCTCTCTCACTCTCTCTTTCCTTTTTTATTTTTGAAGCACTTTAAATAAAAATTCTTCTAGAGACCACCTTTGCTCTTAAACTGGATTTCGGTATTCTGGTCTCATCCAAAGGATCGACAACAGAATATCTAAAGTCTAAATATTTTTCATTTCTCTGTAGAAATAGGCCAATTTTTTTCCTTGAATGTTGTCTATAATTTGAAAATTTATGCATAATCTGATGAACTTTCGAGCAAGGTTTTACTCATAAATTCAGCGGGTTACATTGTAAGGATAAAGGGGTTTAGAATGATTTTTAACACGTATTGGTGATAAAGTTGCAATTCCTGGAAAGGGGTGAAAAGTTCAAATTATTCACGTAATGCATTTTCTAGAGCTGTAGTTTCTATTCATTGAATTACATGTATATTTTTGTTCTAAACTTTTCAAGAACACGTTTCATTTGAAAACTTGAAGGTAGAAACTTTGTAAAAGAGCTAAAAGTAATGATAGCAGATTCTTTAAAAAGCTACTTAAGGTGGGCAAATAAGAATTAGAACAGTGTAAAATGTTTATCCCGTGGCAATATCCACATTAAATGCATGCCGTGCAATGGCTTTTTTCATCTGCTGACTGAAAACTTTTTATCTTTGAATTAAAAAAAGAAAAGAAAATCCTAAATAGTCTTTTTCATTTCATCAGAAGTCCTGAAAAGAATGTTAGAAACCCATTGATGTGCCTGTGGTAAATAAAAGATAGTATATATTAGCATCATATTTCTTCTGTCTCCTTTGCAATTTGTAAAATCAATATTTGACAAACAGTTCTTTTGGAAAAAAAACTGATAATTCTTTCTCCAAAGCGAAAACGTAGAAAAAGCTTTCTTACGACAGAAGAAACCAGCAGTGTTTTCCATAGCAAAAACTTTGGTGGATTGATTAAATTTACGGTGCTGTTCGAATCATATCTTCCTTTAAGGTACGTATTTTCAAAAGAAAACTTTCAGTACTAAGCACTGACACATTAAGATACCCCTGCGCATAAAGGAGTTTAAGGACAGACGAGACGTTCCTTAATAATAGATAAATTTTTCTAAGAGTTTGTCATTGAAGTGTTGAAAATACTTAAACATGTTTTGCTCACAAAAAATAAGGTAACACAAAATATTTTCCAAGGAAATATGAAATAGTTTTTCTTATATAATCCTTTGGGGAAGAAAAATAATTTTCCAATTTCAAATTAGTTTAAGTGGTCTGTATTTTTTTAAAAACGATCCAATAGAAACTGGTTTAGAAATCAGAATGTTATGAAAATTTTGAAATATTTTTCATATATTTTGAAGAAATACAAAACAGATTTGTGTTATAATTATATATAATTAATATATATATTAATAACAGAATAATAACAGAAAATTTAATATTTGGCATTACGTAAATGATAAATTCACTTGTGACTTCCCGACTCGATTGTGCAAACCCATTGATGTATTGTATAAATAAGCAACTTCATTGTGAAAAGTTCAAAATACTGCCGCGCGACTGATAACTCATATCAGGGAATCTGATCACGTGACCCCAATCTTGAAAAATCTCCACTGGCTTCCCGTCGAATTCAGAAGTCAATATAAAATACTTTTGTCTGTATATAATGCATTGAACAACCGTGCTCCAAGTTACTTGTCCGAACTTCTCAAAATATACTCTCCTTCCAGGTCCTTACGTTCACAGAGTTCTTTTCTTTTGGATGTTCACAAGGTTAGAACTGTTACGAACGGCAGTCGTCGATTTGACTACACCACCGCCTCACTATGGAACTCTCTTCCTCTGTGTCTTAAACATTCCAAATATGTTTCGGCTCTTTAATTAAAAAGGTCTTAAAACTCGCCTCTTTGAACAAGCTTACGAAGAAATGTAAAAATTGTATTTTTAGTGATAAACCTGAATGTAGAAAGACACTGAACTGATCTTAAGGCCTTTCAGGATTTTATTTTATTTTTGCTCTACTGATAAAGTACACATTCTTTTAATTCTTTTTATGTTTCAATAGTTGTATTTATTAAAGTGACTCCCACACAACTTACAGTATATAAGTAATGTTTCATGGTCTTTTAAAATAGATATCCTATTTTTAATGCACAAATATATGTATTACTTTTTTAAAGGAATTTGGTCTCTGTTTTTGTATGCTTATGAATATTTTAATGTTAAGGTAATTCCACCCTCCTATGATGTCATAGGTTTTTGTAAAAACTGTAATTAGTTTTAATTCATACCTAATAGAACAATATCTCTTGGAAGAATGCTTTACAATAGGTGTAATGATAAATATTGTTTAGTTAAAGAATTTTAAAAATGCATATTTTCTATATTTAATCAATTATTCAAATTTAAAAAATGAAAGGGCAATAACTCCTTCTAAGGTCTCTTATTCAGGCATTTGCTTTATTGTAAAATAGTTCCCCTGATATTCACAATTCAAAAGTATCTTATAACTATGAATTATTCAGCATCAGCATTATGCATTTAACCTTACATATTTTTCATAATACCGTTTACAAAAAATGTGCGATTTTTTATTTATACACTTCTGTTCATAATGTGTGCTCTTAAATAATATGTATATATTTTTTGAAATTAACACAGTTTAAAGTATATTAAATGAAAATAAATGCAGTTTTTGAACTTTGAACCTATAAAATTTTGAGGGTGGAAACACCTTAAGCGCACTAGAGTGACTTTATTATAATGCGCTATAGAAATACTAGTAATTGTATTGTATTGTCATTAATTAAAATTCAAATTGAAAAGTAGCCTTATTTTGATAAAAGTTTGAGTGGGATTTATTTGATCACAAATCATTTTCACATTAATATCTTTATAACACTTAAGTAAATATTCGTTATTTATGGCATGGAATAATTGTGCTGAGTATATATTGTTGAAATTAACACAGTTTCTATAATAAAAATTACGATTATAAAAAAGGGAGGATAATATTACAGATTAATTTTGTAAATTTAGATACTTGTAGCTATCCTATTGCACACAAATTAGTATTTTTTTATTCAATGATTTGTCTTTGAAAAAAAAAATTCAGCAAGTTAAATAATTATATACGACTAACGACTCATAAATACCCCATTTCATCGCAAGTTAAAAAAAAATTGACTAAAACTGTAATCTCAAAATATTCAAATCTTAACTTAGTGTGTTTCTAACATTTTCCATTCCACTAATATACGAAGTGCCCATATCCATTACATATAACATTTTAGATCAAGTAGAATATAAGAATTAGAGTGAAGATATCCCCTCTTTTCGTCGCCAGATGATAAAAAAAATTGACTTGAGAAAACTCTACGATTATCGAAATTGTATTAGGTGGCTTATTTTTTCTCCGTACAGTATGCCGGTGGTCAATTAAACTCAAAAACTAAGCATCTTTTTCTAGGTTTGTCACTCCAAGTACAAAAGGAGCATAGATTAAGTTCATCCATTAAACCAGAAAAACTGTGAGTACTGAGCTCACTTAATGATAACCCCGCCTCCAAAGTGATTAAAATCATGGAGAGAACTTGATAAGGAGAGAGGAATTTTTCTGTTTCTTATTATTATTATTATTTTTGCAATTGAGGTAAAGATTTTGAATGATCTTGTAAAGTACACATCCGATTAAGGGGAAACCTTTTTAGGGTAAGTAGGCATGTTATGTAGATTTGCGGAACGAAGGTCATTTTGCGCGCACGTGCTTGCACTGTAGCGCGCACTATGCATATACGTGAAATGACCAATATACTAGTTAAAATTGCCTAACTTTTACATTTTTTGATGAAATGCTTTGATATTTAGAATATATAAAAAAAATGTAGATAAGACGACATTGTCAACATGCCATTTTGCGCGCATGTGCTTGCGAGCGCGCACGTGCAACACGTGAAATGACCAATATAATGGATATAGCCGTAACTTTTCTATTTTTTGATGAAATCTTTTGAAATTTATAATGTAAGGATATATTCATAGCGTAAACAAGATGACATGATCCAAAAAGCATATAACATTTGTGCGCTTCGCTCTGATTGGCTGAATATAAAATCTCTATATCTTTCTTGTTTTTTAACGAAATCCTTTGAAATTTTGAACATAGCCATGCATTAAAAAAATATATAGCAATTATCATTAAAACAAGTGCATGCACGTGCGCTGCAATCTGATTGGCTGAAATTGTATAACTAACCAAACAGGATGGGATTTGGAACATCTAGATGTAATGGACTTCAACAAAATATAACTTTTCTCATGTATGCACGTGTGTGCACGTGAAAATAAAATAAAAAATACACAATATATATACATTGTGTAGACAAGATGATTTGGTCATTACGCTCATGCATTCACATGGCACGCTTGCAATGATTAAATTTGAATGAACTTGGTATACTTCTGGTTTAACGTTGTTAAAGTCTCAAATGCATAGAGTTTGTCCTATTTAATGAAGCTTACATGGAATATGGCCAAAGTGATTTAAATCATGGTTAATTAAATCTATGTTTTGCTCTGGGAGACCCGAAATAAGGGTCTGACCAAAAGTAAAATAGGAATGGCGTTATGTGACAAAAAATCTATGAAAGCATAATTAAATGTTTTTCAGTTATAGAGGGAGGAGATTCGGAAGAGTACCTTTCAATACCTCCAACTTTTCAAGCGGGGGTTATACGTGGTATATTGACAGGTATTTGTGAAAGGGCACTGCCTACATAGTGTTGAAATTATAAATTGAGGATGTCATAAAATGTGTCGTTTTGTTGTCGTTTAGTAAATACACTAGGTGAGTAATCTTAATTCTTTGCAAAAAGTGAATGGATAACCTATAAACATTTATTCTCAGTTTGGTTGATCTATGTGTATATATACATAACTATAAAAAAAAAATGAGGCTTAATATTGATTCCATGAGAATTGTTGTGATACATCGGTCTTAAAAGGCAACTTAAAATACCTGTTGAACTACTACGATCAAACATAATCCAAGGCTGGCGAAAGGTTGAGGGCCAGGTCACTCAGACCAGCAGAACGTGTGTTGTGACAGAATACGTAACAGTCTGGCACTGCATCGAATGGGAGTTAAGAACAAAGTTACAGCGATTTTCAGAAATTTTGAAACCTGAACAAGATGCATTTAACATGTACAAGCAATCTGAATGATGAACCAACAGCTTTAGTTTTTTTCGTCAACGGAAAAAAGGTTAGTTCATTTTTTCTGACTTAAAAATACTAGTAAGGTCCATAGAAAGGATCAATTCTTCAAAATACATCATATAAATCAAGGCAATTTCTGTAAAAAAAAAAATAAATAAAAAATTGCTTGCTATCGATTTTTTACGCTTTTGGGTAAACCAAATATAGATATCATTTCTTCCTAACATAAAATATTTTTTTTTTTGAATGTGGTCATTTTTTTCAGAACAATTTTCACAAATTTTGTGCAGATTCAATGCTTTTTCAATATTTCAAAATCGCTCTTTAACCTCTTGGTTGATATGTCTCCTCTTCAAAGTTTTTTATTATTATGCTTAAATTATTGCACTTTTAGTTTAATTCGAAACCGAGAAAGAAAGAAAAAGGAATGAGAAGAATAAAAAAGAGAGAGAGATACCCCTCCTTAAACATTTTCGCGCGGTCGTAGACTTTTATTAATTCAATTTTCTTTAACTTGCGGTGAAAGTTAAAGGGGAGGGGTATTTAAGGTCAGACGATACATTTCCCAAATTTCTATTGTGTATATCTTCATAATGTATGAAAAATATGCCAAATTGTAATCACTTTCTGATTTCTGAACCTGTTTCTAAATGTTTTTAAAAATTTAAAACTCAAAAAATGTGATTTTGGCAAACTAATTTTCCCCCTGAAGGATTATATAAGAAATGCCATCATCTGGTATCTCGCACAAGTACTTGCTAAGGTACCTCAATTTTTTGTGAGTAAACATATTAAAGTAGTATTTGTTCAATGACAAAGTCTAGGAAAAATAATATTTTATTGAGGAACGCCTCGTTTGTCCTCAAGTCTTTATTTTACTTGCTGATTTTACTCTTTTTCAAAGATAAATCATTGAATAAAAAATACTACTTTGTGTGTAATAGGATAGCTTCAAGTATCTAAATTTACAATGCAAAATTAATCTGTAACATGATTTGTCCTTTCCCCCTTTTTATAATCCTATGTTTTATTATAGAAACCGTTTTACTTTCAACAATTTATACTCATCACAATTATTTCATGCGATAAATAACGAATATTTTCTTAAGTGTTATCTAGAAAAATATTTATGAGACAATGATTTGTGATCAAATAAACCGCGCGTTTTTAAGGATATATTCAATCTAAGTCTTATATTCTTGATCTAAAATGTTTTGTGTAACGGAAACGGATAGATAGTACCACCGTATCCCATCATGCCTGTGATAGTGGCCCTATCGATCAAAATATTGTAAAGTATATTGAATTAGCTTATACTTTTAATAAGATTAGGCTAATATTCATTTTAAATTATTGAGTATTTAAAAATTGTTTTTTTTTATTAAAAAAATACATAAAGGACAAGCATTTCACTTTTCCCTTACATTCCTGTTTGAATAAGATATCTTGTATGATTACATATTGCCTTTCTGCATCATAAGCAATACAAATTAACGCAAAACTAATCTGTATGAAACAGAAATAGAGGAACGATTTAAGTATTTCATCTGAAGGACTTTATTTCACTTTACAGAAACTATTTCATGTTTCCTTCGGAAAAAATATTTAGTGTTTTCCATATACATAGCAAACACATGGACTTTGCCATTATTCAAACTTAGGGATGCCCGTTTTGTTTACGCGTTTCCCATTTACGTAATGCAAAAATTGAACTCGGCTATTATATTCCTTATGAGCAGGGGTATCATAATGTGTCAGCTCAGTGCTTAGTACTGAAAGTTTGCATTTGAAAATACGTGCCCCAAAGGAAGATATGAATCGAACAGAACCGTAAATTTACGCAATCCACCCAAGATTGCACTGTGGAAGACACTACTAGTTTGTTCTGTCGTTAGAAAGCTTTTTCCACGTTTTTCCTTTTTGAGAAAGAATTATCAGTTTTGCCAAAAGAATTTTTTGTAAAATATTAATTTTACAAATTGCAACAGAGACAAAAGAAATAATTTTTATATATACTATCTTTTATCAACCACAGGGACACCAAGTGTTTTCCTACATTCTTTTCAGGGCTTCTGTTAAATGACAAAGACTATTTAAGCTTTTTTTTTTTAATTCAAAGATAGCAGATGAAAAAAGTAATGCATGACTTGCATTTAATGTGGATATTGCGACGTGATAAACATTTTGCACTGTTCTAACTATTATCTACCCACCTAAAAGTAGCTTTTTAAAGGATCGGCTATCAATGTTTCTACCGTATAGTTTTCAAATGAAACATATCCTTCAAAAGTTAAGAACAAATACATACATGTTATCCAATGAAAAGAAATCCTTACAAAGAAACCCGCAGAATTTATGAGTAAGCCCTTATTTGATAGTTCATCAGATTATTTGTAATTTTTTTCAAAAATCATAGACAATGATAAAAAAAAATTGGCCGATTACTACAAAGAAATGAAAAACTATTTAGACTTTAAATATTCTGTTGTCTGTCCTTTGGATGAAACCGGAATACCGAAATCCAGTTTGAGAGCTAGGATGAAATCTTTAGACGGTCTTGTCATTCCATTATAGCGTGAGAGTGTTGACCATTGGAAATTAAGTCAGGGTCTCACATTGTCAACAGGATAGAGTGCCCTTGAATTGACAGAAATGTACCGACCACAGGTGACCATGTCACATCACTCGAATTTTATTGCACTTAACAGGGTTAATATCATGGGGTAGCACATTAAACAGGGTGTTGTTCTTTGGTTATCTTAGAAAAATATGGGCCTTGCTATTGAATATCTCTTTTAAAAAATATGGATGATACTGACATGTTACAATGATAATTTTATTTAAGAAATCAATTTTTTGACGTGAACAAACAGCAAGCACTACAGAGTCATCTTGGTTAAAACATATTTCATAGATAGGTACAAGTTACCATAAAATGACAAAAACCCTTTTTCTACCCTTTAGTATGAAATATCTAAGGGTAAAAACGAATGTTTATCTTAAATCTAAACTTGTGCCTAATTTTCACAAAAAATTGTTATATTTTTGGATTAAAAAATTATCCTTTCTCTTTATTTTTCCATTCATACATGCTTTAAAAAATAAAAGCCAACATAAAGCAAACACTAAAAAATCATCTTCAATGAAAATATTTGCAAATTGTTGTACATGTTGCAGGTTTCAATTGAAAATCCGGATCCCAAAGTGACGCTGATACAATATCTTAGACGAAACTGTATCCATGGAAGTAAAAACATTGAAATTCACATGTACAGCATAAGACGAAAATAGTTCCCTTTTTTCTCGTAAGAATATTTAATAGTATGTTTTGCAAAATCATTGAATCTAAACAGTATGTATGAGAAATGAATCATAAATGTACAAAACAAGATATCTATTTTGCATATGAATTGAATTTAAACATTAAGGAATATTTGTACATTAGTTATTGTCTACATTACTTTTCATACTACCGTATTTGAATCATTTGAATCGTACAAACCTGACAGGTCATTGAACATTTGTTCATAAACATGGTAATATGTCAGTTTGACAGGTCGACATGTTCACAGGTCGACAGGTTGACATCATTGTTGATAAACATGCTACTATGTCAGGTCGACAGGTTAACAGGTTAACATCACTATTACTGTGAAGTTCGAAGTCATTAAAGTACATTTGTTCATAAACGTGCTTTTATATCTGGTCGACGGGTTGACATCATTATCAATATGGAGTGTGAAGTCATAAAAATATACCGGTATTTGTTAATAAACATTTGTATTCCGAAGTCATAAAAGAACATTTGTTCAAAAGCAGCTACAATGTATGGTTGACAGGTCTGTCTACCTGTCGACCTGTTTAATTGTCAACTTGTCGAACTTTCTAGCTAAAAAAAAGTCTGTGTTGTTATTTTACATGTCTTCATGGGATTTGTGGCGTCGCTAGTCTAGTGGTTAAGGTGCCGGACTCCAAACCGAAGGGTTGTGAGTTCACTTTACACGAATTTCCTCACTCCACCCAAGTGTAAAAGGGGTACCTGGCTATAGACAGTGAACGATATTGTCAGAATGTTAGTGTTCTAGCGTCTTAACGGTAGCTTGCACTGAGAAAGATTCTAGATTGTTATGGTCTGCTGGGGTAATAATGTACAATGTATTGTTAAGCGCTTTGAGTAGCATTTATGCTAGAAAGGCGCTATATAAAAACAATCATTATTATTATTTATTAATATTAATTTAGTGTAATAATACTAAAATATTTAATCAAAATGTTTGTGAATCTTCATTAAAAAGTAATTAGCATTTATTGTTTTGTACATATATTTATGTTAGAATACAATTGATATAATCATATGATTATTTATTATCTTTCAAAAATATTAAATTAACAAAACCGATTTACCACAGATTATGTGGATGGAACTATTTTCGTCTAATTTTCTACTTGACCTGATAATTTGTTTTACCTAAAAAAATTCTGATTATACACACAAGTACTCTGAAGTGGACATAAAAATGCTTGAGTTTCTGATTGAAAATATCTATGGTGTATTTGGAGACCAGATCTTCCAACAATGTATTGGAATCCCAATGGGTACCAATTATGCCCCATTGTTTATGTTAGCAGACCTCTTTTGTATTCATATTCATTTGTCCAAAACCTTGTACATGAAAAGAAGAAAACACTTGCTGTGGCCTTCAACTCGACATTTAGATATATCGACGACGCACTGTCAATGGTTATTTACATTTTATGTCGATGCGATATGTGCCGGTGGGCTTGACGTAAAAGATACCCCAAAGTCCGAAACATTTATTTCATATCTAAATATTTTACTTGAAAAAAGTTAATGGTAATCTAACACCCAAGCTCTATGATAAACGTGATGACTTTAAATTTTCAATCGTCAACTTCCCTTTCTTATGCAGCAATATACATTCATCACCTGCATACGGGGTTTATATCTCTCAGTTGAATCGATACGCAAGAGCATGTTTTACGTATGAACACTTTCTAAAATGAGGTAAATTACTGACAAACAAGTTGATAAAACAAGAATATCAACTGTATTGTTTAGAGTCATCATTTTTGTAAGTTCTATGGTCGATACAATGACCTTGTCGGCCAATACAATTTATCATGGAGTCAAATGCTGACTTACGTTTTTCATACTTATTGTTAGTCTATTATTTACATACTGAATTGTCAACGGATTTTTCCGTTATTTTCTTGATTATGATAAGGAGCACACAGCAGGTGTAACCGATAAATGTGAAATGTTAATTATGTTTTCACGAGGGATGTTCAATCCTCAATGGCACCTGATCCCATCCCTGATGTTTTGGAGGTCCGTGTTTGCCCTGCTCCTTTTTTAAATCTGTTTTATTAACTTTAGAGCTTGAATAATGTTCGTTACCTCCATATACTTGTATATTTCATCAAAAGCATTACACATCTATTGACTGTGTTCGAGGGCAACATATGTTTTGTCTGACCCAATATCCAAACTGTATTAAAAACGTTTGGTTTGACGGTATACAAAACACATTTTCTCGAAAACACAGCCAATAAATGTTTTGTTATACCTTTTTACATTTTATTTTGACAAATCTTAATTTAAATTTTGTTCATCTGCACTATAATTTCTGTTGAACTCCAGTAAGATATAGTTGACTCCACCCACTCTGTGAGGTAAATGGTTCAATATCTGATCGACAGGTCCTACATCTCACTCTGCAGGCAAACATCGTTTTATTTTTGTCCGCTCAGTAAAATATCGTAAATGTTAGATAGGTTAAGCCAAGGATGTCCAGTTTTGTAATATGCATGCATATGATGCCTGCAAACGGTCTCTTAAGCTGTTTACAAATAAAATAGTTTAATACAGAAAAAGAACAGATTCCTGGATCTAAAAACACAAAACTTCGTTCTTTGTATATACAGAGGACAGGCGCGGATCTCAGAATTTTTTCCAAAGGGAATCGGGGTCCATCCCAATCAAAAATACCAAACCAGAAATTCTTCGATAAACAAAAAAAAAAAACCCTATGGTTTGTGTATGCGTCACCCTTTGTGCAAAAAAAATGTGACCTTAGAAAGTGCGTTGAGCTGTACTTCGCAGGGTTTACTCCTTTTGCTAAGGACCTTCATAAATGAGCCAGAATTAATCGGGTAATGGAGGGATACGACTTCAGATAGGCATTTTTCTTAATTTCGTTTTTAAAGTCTTTTATTTCTTCTGGTCTCATAAAGTTGTTGAAAATGTAAAAAAAAAAAAAGAAAGAAAAGGATTTCAGATTGATATGATATCTATGTACATGTATATATACATTTAAGAGCAGAAAGCAAGCTAAAAACATTAATGCACACACAAAAAAATGTGCCCTTGACCTTTGACCTAGTATATTTGACCGGAACAAAGGAGGCGTGCAGTCAGGGAGCATGTGGGGCGTGTACAGTCATGTTATCTTATTACAACCACCACCAGAAGAAAATTATGTATCCTTTGTATAGAATAAATAATTGTTTTAACAGATAATGGAGCAATCTAGCATATGTCGTGTATAATTATTCACTACTCCGGAAAACGGAGTTTATTTTAACGTTACCTTTTATTTTTCACAATACAATTACATGTACTATATGTGATTACATGTGACATGAATGGGAAAACATTAAAATGCTTATGTCTGATGACTTGCTTTTTTGTATACCTACCTTAATTACAATAAAGCCATTACTCTGGGAACGCCTGTTTGACCTTGATTTGCTCCCTACACGGGATGTCTGTGACTACAGTGGAGGGAGTCGGCAGCACTAGGAATGGTCTTCATCCGATCCAGGTATGCTGGAAGCAAACATTTTATTTAACAGACTGACCTTTCTACATCTTCAAGTACTTTTGAGCTTAAATACTCTTTGTTTTCTCCACATATTTCATTACACTTCTTATGCTGTAGATCACCATATATTCGCGAAACCCTTATTTTCGCGAGACAGCTATCTCATAAATGAGAGAGACATTTTTTTTTTGCAAGCTGTTGTGATTATTGTATCTTATTCTTACCAATACACGAGACTAAAATTTTCGCGAACAGACTCTGTTATACAGACTATTTCGCGTTATTAAGCAAATATAAAAGTTCTCCCAAATAAAAAGTGATTTAGAGTATAAATTGTGACAATTAATATTCAAATACAATTATTACAATCTTCAATTATTGCAATATTCTATATCATTTTATCACCTTCAACATTATACTAGTATGTAAACATTATCCACATACTACTGTAATAGCTTTCATAATTAATTGAATCATATACTTACTAGTATATCTCATGTTTTAAAGGTGTCCCTTCTGTTCCTGATTTACATTGTTTAATCAGTTTGCTTTTGAGATTGAATGCATTATATCATGTATATATTCATTTTCATTATATTTCATTATAAATATCTAAAAGTCTGGATCAAACTTGATCTACATACAACTGTACAGCTTACACTATCTGTAACACGTTGCCAAACCTTATGACTGTCAATTTGTCATAGTAACAAAGAAGTTTTAGAATTAACGCGTAATAAAGACACATTATGTACATATCATTGTACAATAATATTTAAAATGGAACGGAATCACTGTCCAAACGTTGTGCACTACTATACCTGAGAAAGAGATGTTACTTATTACTTCTCTCCAAATTCAATTCTTTTGCAGCATTATTCTTTTTTTTTCTTTTTCTTTTTCTTTTTTTTTGCAATCACATTTTCCTATCGTTTTACCATTTCATCAAGGGGTTTCAAAATTTTCTTTTAGAGAAATATGATGGAGAACCATGGAATACAGTGTGGTTTTTGTACCCCCGGCATGGTGATGACTATGTATACCTTGTTCAGGAACAACCCCGAGCCAAGTCAAGAGGACATGGAAAGAGCCCTAGAGGGTACTGTCCCATTACAGTAACATAAACTGGAATTACTCTCATCTCTTTGCCTTAATTTCTAAATGTGTGGTGCATTCACAAATACCTTTCAAAGCAATATGAGCTGCAACTTTGATGCAAAATTGTAAATAACTATTTCAATGACAGAAAAAAGAATGTATATAAACTTTTTTTGTTCAAATTTGCGACATAAGAACTATTTATAAGCTTTGATTAAATCAAAATTACATCATTGTCGTCCTGTACAATAATAATTTCTCATACAATACTGTATATTCGATTGTATAGAAGTCTTTCTCCTGAAACAATTTTATGATTTATTTTATTGTTAAGTTAAAAACAAATTTATCATAATAACACATGTACATTTCAACAACAAAAAATAAAAAAAATGTTTTCAAAAATGCAGCTTATATTGCTGTATTTTGTGTTTATCTAGGCAATCTCTGTCGCTGCACTGGATATCGCCCAATTTTGGAGGCGTTCAAAAAGGTGACATTAAATAAAGATACTATAAAATAATTTTGCAAATACAATGTAATGCAATAATTCTTGTCTTCAAACATTTTCACATACAATGCACTCAGTATATGTTTTTTTAAATATAAATACATTAAGTTTTTAATATCCGGGGCTTAACATTCCAGAGTTGTCCTTGTGGACTTGGTCTTTGCCAGCAAAGTGCAGAGGAAAAGAAAGAAATTGCAGATAAAAAGGTATTTCAAATAAAAACAAAAAAAGAATCTTAGCTTCAACTGCTTTCATTGTCTGTAAGGATTCTTTTTGCGTTTGTTTGTTTGTGAAGGGTTTGTTTGTTCGTTGGTTGCAATTTATCTTATTTTTCTGCAGTTCAAAATTCTAAAAACTACTGATGAAACCAATGTTTTTCCTTCTTTGAAAATGAAATTATATGTACGATATTCAATCGTTGTTATGAAAAATGTACATTTATTATGTAACCTTGTTTTTTTCCTTAAATGATACATGAAATTTCTCTTATTTATATTTCAAGGCAGGTGAAAAACCCTCCCCTGACAAGTATGACAAGACACAAGACGTTATCTTTCCAAGCGAGTTACAAGTACGTATCTGTTTTATATCAGGCAATACATGTATGTATTTGTAATTTAAATTCATTTACTTTTAAAAAGTTCACTTTAATATGAACATAAAAATCTTTACACAAACTGAATCCCGGAGTAATAATGTATAGCATAAACCTTGTGTTTGCAAAATCACACGCTTTTGATGAAAGTGAACAATTATAAAAAAAAAAGAAGCCTTTCCCAAGTCGTAAGGTTATTATATGAAAATCCACTTATTTTACTGTCTTGTTCAGAAATCTTTAGAATACAGTCAAAGGGACGTTATGTTTGTCGGCGGTGGTTACAAATGGCTAAGACCTGTATCATTAATTAAACTGTTGGAGCTGAGGGCCAAATTTCCGAACTCAACAATTATCATGGGATCACAGACATCAGTAGGTTGGTTATCCAGTTTTTTAATTCTCTTAAGCAGTCCTTTTCTTTTTCGTAATGTCGCAGTGTTCAGAGCGTCTGCTCTTTTTTTTAACAAAAAGAGACATTTTAAGTAAAACAATAAAATTTTACTCGCATTCTCTCACACATTCATACTTCCCTTTATAGAACATATTGTTATCTTAATTTCAATTATGCAGCACTTTTCTATTTCCAGAAATAAAATTAAATCAAAATACGTCAACTCTGAAATTTTTTTCATAAAAAAATGAAGATTTTTGCAACTCTAAAACATATAATTTGAGAGAAATTATTTTGTGTTACTCTAAGTTAGTTATTTTGTTGTAAGCTACTAGCGATAAAAAGTCGACAGATCTTTTGAATATATCCTGCAAAATTATGCCATCAATTTCTTTGTTGAGTAATTTGTCTTTTCCTTTAAGGGTCGAAAATTCGAAATAATACTTTACCATCACCGGAAATTATCTGCTGTACCCAGGTCTTGGAGCTGAGGAGAATTGTGGAGGAAAAGAATGGTATAACTGTGGGATCCGCCGTTACATTTGCACAACTGGAGGAATATCTAAGAGGGAATCTTAAGGAAACGAAAGGTATCAAAATATTTTGAAAATAAAAATTTATGGCAATATATATTTATGCTTAAAAATATGAATCAGATATAATCCATCAAAAACAAAAGAATTACTTGTATATATTTTATATTAATAATAAATCCGTTTTTCAATGTAATGTAGACAATTTTAAAAAGAAGGTTTAATTGAGAGCTAAGTACTTTAAAAGGGATGTTTTAAAAATATAATTTTGGTGTGACCAAATACCATGAACCGATATATATCAATAAACTATTTTTAACCTCATTTAGGCAGAGATTGTAACGTTGCCTCAGCATTGTTAGAGGGACTGCGGTGGATAGGAGCGGATCAGCAGAGAAATGTGGCGGTAAACTTTAATATAATTCATTATTCATATTTTTGATACTAAAAGGCAAATAAACTATATGCCCTACTGTTGTTCAAAAAATGCATTAGAAGAAAAAAAGTTCTCACCGTAACAACTCAAGAAAATAAATGTCATATGCTTCATTTGGAAGTAAAATGTGAAGAAACGCAACATAAAGGCAAAGTACAGAAGATAGTTTAACATATTTACGGGTGTTATATGCGGCGACATTATAGTTAAATTATTTCAATATTTATTGTAGACACTTGGAGGCCACTTGATGAGTGTAGGACAACACGATTTACAAACCTTCATGCTGACTGTGGGCGCAGAACTTAACTTCATTTCTCCCAAAAGTACGGAATCTTATTATTATATATCAGATTGGGGATGTTTTGTATCGTTTTGTAAAATTTGATTACCACACTCAGTCTGAGAATTTTTATCAAATGATTTCTGAATAAATTGTTAACATTGAAACATATTCAATATATAAATTAATAAGATAAAAAGTCGTTTATTTAATCAATTAGCCAAATCAAAGAGAGTTGCATACGAGAAGTTCATGACAAATGGAGTCCATGCACCTGATCCAAGTGATATTCTAGTCTCTGTTTACATTCCATTGAACAAACAAGTAAGAAGCTTACTATACATTTCATATATACAAAAGAAATCAAACAGATCAACGAGGAAGCACTAAAGCAAAAATACAAAGCAATGGTACATGTAAAACTTAAAATAAAAGGACAAAGTTTAACAAAATACTTCCCAATCTTATTGAAGAACGAGTACATGATGTTCACCAAACAACCATCTCGCCGAGGAATGGACTGGGCTGTAGTTAATTCTGGATTGTATGTGAAGGTGAACGACAAGAAACACATTGAAGCCCTAAGATTCTGTGTGGGAAACATGGAGAACAAACCGTGTATTATAGAAAAAGTATCCACCACTGCAAAAGGGAGGTAATATATAGTTCTTAAATTGCACTCAAGCAGTTACAATCGATTTGACAGTTGTTTTTCTTGAAAACGAATTACGTGTAGGATGGCGTTAAATATGATTTTATACAAATTCCATTGAAGAAAAATTAGATTTATCGATGAAATAATAAATTTTAAAAAGGAACATAATATTTTTTAATCATATGTTTAGGCATTTAACAATAATTATTCCAGATCTTTGGATGAGACGTGGATACCAGATGCAAGTGATGCCATCATTGACCAACTGAAAGGATGTAAAACAGATGCCTTGCAATACAAAATTTCTTTGGCGTGTGGTTTTTTCTACAAACTATATAAACAAATTTTGGAAACAATAAAGGTATTGTAAAGTAGATACAAAAGAATGTTTATTTACAGTATTAAATTTATTTTGTGACAATATACTAAGTATATGGTAAAACTGCAGTAAAATGAATTCGTTAATACAGATTTATTAGAATTTTTTATCACAGGGATGTCAAATCGATCAACATTTAATAATCGATTAGGCTACTTTGATCCTCGTTTTTATTATTGCTTTTACAGCATTTTCGGTTGTAAAAGGTGCACCTTTGTTTCAGTATCCATCAAGCAAGTTTATCAAATCTAGTTGTTAATTTGTTAAATCTTTTGTTTTAATAGACTGTTGGCATAATTAATGCGTGCTTTTTCTGAGGGAATCGTAAAAAAGCAGGACACCTTTAATTTCTGATGGAAATATTATATGTATGAGGGCTGTTCAATAAATAATGTCCTGAACTCTATGACATGTAACACAGATATAATAATTTTTATGGCATTAAGCATGACTTTCTCTGAAGATTGATTCTTTAATGAATTGAAATCAGTGTATGTGATCACTTTTCATCATTGTGAGAAGCTGAAAAACAAGGGCTATTCGAGACATTAAAATGAGCAGTGAAGAATCAGAAAATAGAGTGAAATGAACACTTCATTAAAGTTTGCCGTAAAACTTGCTAAGATTTCCAAAGAAATATTCACTGAATCCAAAGTCTGTTTTATAGACACATGAGCAAGTGGATTTCAATGAATAATTATGATATAATGGACATCAAAAATGGGTACCGTCCTTGGCAACAAGGACTTAAAGCAACCAATGTTCTGTTTGCCAAAATTCAACAAATTATCACTAATGATGTTTGATTGACTTTAAGTCACATAACAAATTTGATAAGCATCATTTAGGGGAAACTTTAAGAAACATTTAACATAAAAAACTTAGTTGTCAATCGTCACCGTATGTTTTGAAAAATGGGTGAAAAAAAGCATGTAAAAATATCACAAAAAAAAAAAAATCCTTAAAATAATCAGAAATTGTAGTTATCCTTGTTTGTCTGAAATTCAAACAGATATTGAAACTTAAATTCATTGCATTAAATCTTCTTGGCTCTTGTTCTTTACAATAAGATGTAAGACAGCAAAACAGAGGACAAAGACGTATTTCAATATTTAAATTTTCTTAAGTCTTGTTCAAATTCTTTTATTTGGGAGGAAAAAGTCAACAGAAAGCAAACCTTTTGCAAAAAAGAAATATTTAAGAGAGTACGGAACATGAATCAGGAATCCACTACATTAAATTTCTTCATCACGGCGTCCAAACACACACTTTCTGAAGAGTAAAGGTCTTTTGGGGATTAAGTATGCAACATTTTCTTCACCCTTTTTTTTGTTTTTTTTCAAGCTTGACAATATAAACAAATTTCAGAAAGATAAAACAAGTATTTGGGAGGCATATTCCAGTATATCAGGGTCATGGCTCTTAATATGAGTTCTAAAACAATCAGAAATTGGATAAAATTTTGCAACAATATTTGATTACTCTTAAGACTAAACCATTGAATTTCGGCTGTATTTAAAAGTGCGCAAAAATTAGAATAAATATTTACGTATTTCGTGACAGGTGTCTTGATAAAACATTTTATCTTTCAGTGTAAATCTAACATTTTAGATATCATGGCACACAGCATCGATAATTTGGTGTCCCCACAAATTTCAATCTACTATTCTAACTCTCTTTAATCCTTTTATTGAATACATCAGAAATGTGTACATTATATATTTTATATATCCACGTATGAAAAGCATAATTTAATAACGAATTTCTGTGAAAATAGAAATCATGGGTTTTCATAATTTTTAATAGATTAATTATTTCAGATACTCTGTTGAGTTCCTCACATTCTTTATATGTTACTAACTTTTTATAAGGATATCAAGAATTTCGGTTTAAAGGATATTAAAATACATGCCCAAGGATTTAGTTCATGCAAACTTTATTATAATAAAACATAACATTTTTCAAAACATGAACTATGAAGTTAATTTGTATCTATCTTCAAAGCCAGAGAATGGAAAAAATAATTTTGGACTGACACCATCCCTTTCCTCTGGAGCACAATACTATGATGTACCAAATCCAGAGGCAAAAGAGATTGTCTGGAAGCCTATACCTCATGCAGCTGGAAAAAGTCTGGCATCTGGGGAAGCAATTTTCATTGACGATATGCCGCAGTACACAAGTAAGCCTGGACAATTCTCCCTCTTTCTTTTAAAGAAAAGATAATGATAGTTGAGAGGACAGTGAATGAGATTAATTTTTCAAGTAGACTTGGAATTTCTTAAATAATTTCATATTACAATACTCAATACTGAATACAAGTATCTTAAGCTTATTACACAACGTAATTTCTGTTTGAAGGTTACATTCTTTATCTCTCTTAACACCTTATCCATATGAGTGAAAAATTATCGAGAATAATAAGAGATTAACTCAGAATACCTTTTCTTTATTCATAAATAGCAAAGATATATCATTTAGCTTTAGTCATTTCAAAATGTGATTTGGGTAAGTTTGGTTTCCGAATATTTTAGACGAGCTATCTATGTGGTTTGTAACCAGTGCCAAGGCCCACGCTAAAATCGTCTCCGTTGACACCTCAGCAGCTTTAGCTGTGCCTGGGGTAGTTGATTATGTTGACAGAAGAGATGTTCCTGGAAGCAACTTATTTGGACCCTTATATCACGATATTCCTTTATTTGCCAATAAAGAGGTATAAAGGTCCAACATTGAAATCATTTTATCTTCACAAAGCACTGTTGGACATTTAAAAACAACATCTGCCCAAATAATACATCTCTTTTTAACATGTTAAAAAAGTTTCAATGAAATGAGAAATGTATACTCAGCCCGCATATTTAATGAAAACATCGATGATATCAGAAAGTTGATAACTGTTTTTATATCAAAAACGTTTTATGGAATTGTGATCGCCACAATAAAGCAATATACAGTATGATTCAGAGAAACTTAATTGACTTTTTTCTTTGTTCGATAGGTTTCTTACCATGGACAACCTATAGGTGGTGTAATAGCAGAAACAAGAGAAATCGCCAGAGCAGCAGCAAAATTGGTGAAAGTGGAATATGAGGATTTACCAACTATATTTACAATCGATGTAAGGATCATTTGCTGATAGGATTTGAAAAAAATAAATACACAAATTAGATAATAAAAACAGAATAACTTTTTTTTATTTTGAAAAGTGGATAATTCATTGTATTGTAGGAGGCCATTGAGAAAAAGAGCATGATTGAATATGTGGCAAATCATACGAATGGTGATGTGGAGAAAGGCTTGAACGAAGCTGAAATGACTTTAGAAGGTGTTATTGAAACTGGGGCACAAGAGCATATGTACTTGGAACCTATTGCAGCACTAGTTGTTCCAAAAATTGAAGACAAAGAAATTGAGGTTTTTATAAACACACAGGAGGCCAAAGGAGTTCAGGTACTATAGTGTACAAAGATACACCACATTTATGATAGTCTATGATGTACCAAAAATGTAATCTTTTTTAAAAAATATATTACGAGTGTTTTTATGTATCATGTATTTGAACTTTGCAGGCAGATGTAGGTCAGTTTTTGGGTATACCGTACAACAGAGTAACTGTGCGAGTGAAAAGAATTGGTAGGCGACATTTAAAATTCAAATTAAAGAACATTTATGTTTTCCTTGTCATATTTTTTCTCTATTTTTATATAAATTGTTTGAGCAGAATTTTTATAAGGAAATATATTTTCCTCTTCATGCTTTTTGAGAACTCGACACTTGTCAAAACAGAGGAACAATATCAGTATATACTATATAACACAATGTATAATAACATGGAGATGGTAATGGTAGAGAGATATATGTTTTCCAGGAGGGTCATTCGGTGGCAAGGCATTGGATACTATCACTGCTAGCGGGACGGCCGCTGTGGCAGCATGGAAGTGAGTACATTTTATCATGTGGTTTTATGTCCGAAATTAGATTTGTGTGTATAAATTACCGAGTAAATACTGTAAATACATAATAAATGACTGGGAGAGAATAATTCAAACAACGAATAAGAACATGCTTTATTGGAAAAAAAAATTTTAAATGCTTAGTAATTAATGTTGTTTTAATCATAATGAGGTCGTTCGACTAGTATTGTAAAAAAAAAAAAAATACAAAATACTTTATATATTAAACAAAATATAAAAGTACATTTAAAACTGAATTGAGTAAGAAAACAACAAAAGATATACAACTTTTAATTTACACAGAGTGAATCGACCAGTTCGTCTGATCTACACTCGGACCCATGACGTCAAAACTACATGTAAAAGGCATCCAACCAAAACCTTCTACAAGGTGATATAAACTCTATCCATGTACATCAGACCAATGTTTTCATGATACATGTAACGATGGTACAGTGACCGCTCTCTCTCTCCCTCTCTCTGTTGACTTGTACATTAATGTTTTTCTTACTTTCCTTTCAGGCTGGCTTTAGTAAGGATGGTAGAGTGACTGCTCTCTCTGTTGACATGTTCATTAATGCAGGTTGGAACAGTCGCACTACAGTAAAGGTAGTACAAAACACCCATGGATTCTATTTTAACTCAATTCTTAAAAAGTTGTGGAGAAAAAGAATAATATTACTATATTGACAACAATGAATGATCTATGTAAGAAATATTATAAGTTGTGGCATGTTTTCGTCATATTTTGTAAAAAAAAAAAAAAAAAATCAGAGAATCCTTTATATTGGTCATATATTTTTTAAAATGTGATTCAAATGCAAAAAAAAGATGTAACTTGCAGTGTAACTTTTGTTTAAGGATAGGTTTTTGGACACATATCTTTTTTATGTACTATAAAGGTCAGGGTCATACCAAGAAGTCAGAGGTCAAATATTGTGACGTCATCATCTGAATCTTTCAGGGTTTTTTTTGCTATTGATTTTTTTTTAAATCGCAAAATATCTGAAACCACTGATTCAATTTTCTTCATTTTTACAAATTTTAATTATATAGATTTTATTGTAAAAAAAATATTCAATGATTTCATTTGATTTGATTTTCTTGTTGAGCATAATTTTTAAATTGTTGTAACCTGTATTTTTGAGCTAAAATATCGTTAAATTGTTTTAATTTTATGTAGGGAAAGGGAATTTTAACATTTGCATTCATATAATTTCACCATTCAGGTAATGGAACTAGGCATGATAGCAATGGAGTCTACATTTGACATTCCTAACTACAGGGGGACTGGGAGAGTTTGCTTGACCAATTTACCATCTAACGGGGCCTTCAGGGGATTTGGGGCGCCTCAGGGAACCTTTATCATACAGAGCATTATGTATGACATCGCTAAAAAAATAGGAATGCCAAATGACAAGGTAAGATGAATGACTTTAAAGAAGATTTATATGGTGACATCTTTTTTTATTCTAGGAATCACTTTCATTGAAATTTCTATCGATATTTTTTTGTTCCACGTGTGAATTAACAAGCTTTTTTTTTTTTTTTACAGTTTAGTAGTGTATTTTTATTCATTTACTGCTCCTTTAATTTCAAGCTAAGGGAAATGAACATATACAAAGAGGGAGACAGGAACATCCATGGAATGGTTCTTAAAGACTTCAATCTGCCCATTTGCTGGGAGGAGTGTAAAAAGCAGATAAAATTTGAAGAAGTCTCAAAAGAAATTGAGGAATTCAATAGGTCATTATTTTAAGTTACTTAAGTGTTTATTTAGCTCGTGTGTTGTTTTGAACATACATGTGTTTTATTGTATAATTTATACAAAGGGATTGGCTACAAGTTCTTGCAACTTAAAAAAACCTTTCCCTGTAATATATACAATAATTATAATTAATGATTGCCAAAATAACAATTGAAGGTGTAAAATTATACATATACATGATAAATAGAAAATATTTCAAGTTAAGATACTTACTAAGGATTCAGAGTTCTTACAATGTGTAAATCTATAATGTTACATGCAAATGATTACAATGACAACAGTATTTTGGAAAGAAAAATATATGACAATAATAATAATAAATAATACACATGATCATAAGTAAAATTCTCACATCATAAACAATCAAAGTTGTACAGATATGATTAAATGACAAAGAAACAGAAGAAGAAAAGGGGATCAAAATCTACCGCGTGTGTTGTAAGACTGGTAACATAATAATCTTGTTCAATTTTACAATGTATCAAAATTGCTGAATCTTATAATTATTGTGCTTTTGTTCATAATTTAACCTTTATGATATTTTCAGTAAAAACCAGTACAGGAAAAGAGGTCTTGCCATGTCTTCCGCTGTCATGAGCATTGGCTACCCAATGTTGTTCATATGCCAGGTATTCAAATTATATTTTTATTTCCTTAAATAAGTTCACATAAGAATGTAGAAGGATATGGAGATAACGAACAGTATTCAATCTCAAATTCCATAAAACAATACGAAATAAGAGCAGAGCGAACACGGACCCCCGAAACATTAGAGGTGGGATCAGGTGCCATATCAAAATAACATGTATTCATTGAATTGTTTGTGTGATATAAAGTGTAATTAATTTTGAAAATTTAATTCAAAGGCTGGGGCTTTTGTTAATATTTACACTGACGGATCTGTTTTGGTTTCACATGGAGGAATAGAACTCGGACAGGGTCTCTTCACCAAGATGATTCAGGTAGCTCAGAAAAAGTTTCAAATATATTTAAAACTAGAGCCGAGCTCGTTGCAAAGCAACGAGTAGGTCTTCCGTCCTGTTTGACCGGAAGTAATTTTTATTAAAAAAAAAAAAAGATATTGAAGTTCAAAAATGGGTTATTATATTTTGTTAAGTAAAAAAATTAAGCCATTCTTTGTACTTCCGGATTTGAAAGTGACGACGACTTTAATATTTAAGCTTCTAGTGAGACATGTTACCCAAAAACCTGTCAAAAACGGCAAAATATGTTTTCTGAAACTTCCGAAGTGATTGGCTGGACCCATTATAAAGCTTGACATTTTGAACAACTGTGCTTCTTTGGCATAACAAATTCAAATTTTTGATATTTTTTGGCCCCTCTCCTTAATTTATCATGTTCAACATATCAGAAAGATCTTCTAATTCTGCATAAATTATGTATATATTTTAACAAATTTTTTACTTGTAGATAAAAAGAAAAATTGAGTAATTTTTGGTCTTTTAAGCTTTCTAATTTTTTTAGCGCCATTTTGAATACAGAAATGTTATTTACATTTCCTTCTAACTAGTATCTAAAATAAGTAAAAGGCTTCAGCCGTCTCTGCTTTTTGGAAACGAAAGTTAATATATACACTCAAACCGGAAGTGGCTTTTTGTTTTGGTTTATATAACATGGAGGAAAAATTTGAGCGAAATCCGTTGAGAAATGAGGGTCTGACCAAGATGATTCAGGTAGCTCAGAAAAAAAATCAAAATGTCTTTAAAACACAAATACATTTAGGGGGTTATTTCTAAAGCATTATTACATGTATTTTCGTAAGGTGGCTGCAACTGTCCTAGAAATTCCGGTAGAGAAGGTTTACATTAGTGAGACCAACACTGTGACTGTCCCCAATACTACAGAGACGGGAGGAAGCTTTGTGACTGACCTCAACGGGGGAGCTGTAATGGCAAGCACATGTTCTATATTCTAAACTTATATAAACAGAACAATATCCCCTTAACTTTTAGAAGTTAATTCATTATATGATTATTATATTGTCTCTCTTTCCCTTCTGTGAATCATTCATTGTTCAAGAACGGTTTTTTTGGGAATAGCTATGTATGAAGGTTTTTCTTATGTAATAATAGCAAGACTAATTCTTTTATCTTTTATGAAGAATGCATGCCAGATCTTAAAGGACAGACTGCAGCCATTGAGAGACGCCATGCCCGAAGCATCATGGGAACAACTGGTACGTTTTACGTAGATCACGTCATCAAATGAAACAGGTTGTGATAGTCAATATTTATATGTATATCTTATTTTTATTCCAGATACAAGCTGCATATTTCAGCAGAATAAGTCTGTCTGCTACTGGATTCTACAAGTGAGTTGGTCAAAAAAATACTAGAACCTTCATAATATTAATTAATGATTTAATTATACATGCTGGTCACTTTACATATATCTCATCTATATCCCTTGAAAGCCACAGACTCAGCATTTAAGAATCTTGAGTCACTCTTAAAATGGTGAGTTGTTTTCATATCAGGTCTCGTGAGAAAGGATATGACTTCAAAAAGCAAGGAGAAGGAGAATACTGCAATTATAATTCCTATGGGGCTGCATGCACCGTGGTGGAGATAGACTGCTTAACAGGGGAGCATCAGGTCCATACCAATTATTCATTTTTTTTTCATTCTATCAATATAAACAATTTTTAAATGTTCCTTCGACAATGTCTTAAACTTAATTTGGCTCAAGGAATATTTATCATGTTAATAAAGTTATGTTATCATAAGCACCAATACTTAATGAAATTTATCTCGATTTCTATTTTAAAATTCTAAAAAAATATTTTGGGTGAATTTAAAGACAAAAATTACATGTAATCCTGTTTATTACAACTGCTAGATACTACGTGCTGACATTGTATTTGATGTTGGCAAGAGTCTTAATCCCGCTATTGACGTCGGACAAATCGAAGGGGGATATGTACAGGTAATGAACCTCTATTTAATTACTTTCAGTAATTTGATTATGTGATTTCTGATCCTCAATGATTATTTCTTTGATTTTTTTAAATATGAATATGTATGAAATTTAATATTTTTTCTAAACCAGGGCACTGGTTTAATGACATTGGAAAAAGTAGTGTTTGATAAGGATTCTGGAGAAGTGACATCATATGGTCCCGGTAATTACAAGGTACCAGGCATCAGAAACATTCCAAAGGAGTTCAATGTTACTCTCCTGAAAGAAGCCAAGGGTGAAAACAGACCGCTGTATTCATCAAAGGTAATAAATATCTGTACTTCTATGTGAAATGTTTTAAAAATCATCAAGGAAATTACACCCAGCCCTCCAAAAAAAAAAAAAAAATGGAAAACCGTTGAGCATTCTTTTTTTAAAAAAGTAAAGTAAACTTTCTTGCTTGAATGCCTTTTTGATGACAATTCAATAAAAATTTCCAAAAGAGAAAATTCTCTTTTATATTTATAATTAAACAAGTCATGATACCTCTCTCTCCAAATTTATGATAAATACGGATGAGCATTCTGAAATTAAACTTTTTGTTGAAATTTTGTTCTACATTTTTTTACGTAATTTATAACAATCTTGAAAACATCTTGCAGTAAATATTGATTGGTCTGTTTTATAGCCTACCTCGTGTAGATGACCATCAAGTGTACAACAAAAGTTTCCTAAAATCCAATGTTTGTTTTTCCTCCTAAGGGTATTGGAGAGCCCCCTCTGTTGTTAGCGGCGGGTGTGCACCTGGCCCTCAGGGAAGCTGTGAATGCTGCACGTAAAGAACAAGGTCATAATGAAAATTATAGACTGGAATGTCCAGCCACACCCGAAAAAATCCTAATGGGTTGTGATGGACCTATTAAGAAAAAGGTTTGTACAGTGAAAACCATGTTTTCCAATACTGTAAATCACTTTTTTAAATTGAATTAATTCATTTTACCTGTAATAACACGGGATCATAGTGTGTTGTCCTTGTTTGCGTAATTCTAACAGTTTTGTATTGTTTTAAGTTTTTTAAAATCTATCAATGTTCGTTATTTTCACCCTTTTCGTTGCATAGAAATGTTCTCTGAGAATAAAACCCCATGTTTCTAGGAAATATAGCAACTTTTATCATAGCGTTATAAATGAATACATATGGGCTTTAAGGGTGCCTTATGTCCGATTTACCAGGCATCATTAGTGTTATTATATCTGTCATATTTACATCGTTTTAAAAAAACTTCATAATTTTTTGTTTAATCATTTTAACAGACGCAAGATATATTTCTGTAATTTAAGATTCTTTTTTTTCAATTGATAAAATGCAATGTTTTTCATTTCAGGTGAATACCATCGAAGAAAACAATCAGAATATCTTAATTTGAAGATCTGATTGCAGATTATAGGGATACGGGTTAAATTAGAATAAGTAGATATTGTTTAATCTTGTGCTTCCATTTTAGAACCTGTGCAATTTTTTAAAAAACTATTTTTGTATGTTACAAATGAAACTTAATTTTATTTTATCTTAAATGTACTTAAATGCTATTCGTGAATTTCACTGTTATATAAATAATTTTGCACTCGTAACCTTTTTTATATGTTGACATTTTGAAAACAATCAGAATATCATATTTTGAAGATCTGATGACAATTTTAGGGAGGCGGGTTAATTTTAGTATAAGTAGATCTTATATAATCTGGTGCTTTTATTTTAGAACTTGTGCAATTATGTTTTAAAACTATTTTGGTGTGTGACAAATGAAACATATTTATTTTATCTTGAATGTACCAATCTAGTAGTGTCATGTTTATGAAAAACAGTAGTAATCTTTTATCTTTTGATTGTCAATGCGTTGTATCATATAAAACGTTAATTTTTTAGAGAAACTTTATATAACTGCATGTCTTAAAAGCTTTGAATTATCAATGCCAGTTTCATTTTTCATGCACTTACCAATTATTTTTTATTATTCATGTTATTTTATATGTTTTTAATGATTTTGGATTTGAGAAATAATATATTTATTATATATAATATATACATTTTGATATTTTAGAACATGTTTCTTAACTGTAAACTCTGTGATTTTTTTTTGATTTTGAATAACAGTTTTTGTAGATATATTTTCTTTTTTTACCATTCAGTGCTATTGATAGCCATAATGATTACAGTGTGCAATATTGCAATGGTCATGAGAACAAATTTCCGGCAAGAAATATCAGACTTCATACCTACAGAAGAATGAACAAGTATGCATTTATCAGCATGAAAAAAATTATGTAGAGGATCAAAGAGGAATTAGTTTCAAACACATTTACCACAAAAAGATACATCATTGATAAAATAACATATTCTTTTGACACCATGAATTGTTATGAATTTAAAAATGGGTGTATTTTGTCGTGATATTAAATATAAAAATCTTAGAGCTTTGCAAATTGTATTTTGTTTGTTAGTTTTGATTTTTTTTATTTGAAAATTGTCATTAACTATGCATTAAAACGTTTTTTAAAGTTTGAAAAATGAAAACACGTATTTATATACTAGTATTTTGCCAAGAGCTATTTTAATTTTTTTTTCATCGCTTTACCCACATATAGCTGTACATTTTGGATATCTGTATCTATAATTATGAAGTTATATAGCATAAAGAACAATGAAATAGGGAGCTAAATAAACAAACTTTACAGAATTAAAACAACAGTGTTTTGTTCTCTTTTTCTTTCAACTATAGTTCTGCTGGACACATCATTACTAGTGATTATGGTGGCAATATATATCTTTTTCATCTCTTTACCCACAAATATATACTTAGTAAACATATCATATCTCTATAATTTCCACAGATACGTTATATAGGTTAAAATTGGTAAAAGTGTTAATGTTTGGAAGAAAATTTTTGGTACAGGACTTTACAGAATTAAAACAGGATATCCTGTCAGACATTTCCTTTTGTTCTCTTTTTTTTTTTTTTATAGTTCTGTCAGGTTTTTTTGGAGGTACAAAATTTTTTTCATTACACTAGTGATTTCAATTTGCTTCCAATATACATGTATATAGTTAAAAATTAAGACCTCAAGGACAGAAGATACGTTCCTAAATAATAATTTTAAGAAAAATTCCAAGATTTTGTCTTTTTAAGAATAATTACTTCTTTAATATGTTTACTCACAAAAAATTGAGGTACCTTACCAGGCATTTGTGCGAGATAGCAGAGAATAGTGTTTCTTATATAATTCATATGAAAAATAAAATTATTTTCCAAAATTAGATCTTTTAGCGTTTCAATTTTTAAAGACTATTAGAAACACTGTATAAGAAATTAGAATGTAATTGAAATTTGAATATTTTTATACATATTTGAAAAATATACAAAACAAATTTTTTAGGAAACCGCAATGCAATATCGGATAGTTTACCTTATTTTCAGATCAACAAAAATTTTCTAAATGCAGGCCTACCTTTAATCGAAAAGTGAAAGCAAAAAAGGCATTTCTATAACCAATTCAATCATTAAAAAATGTGCTAGATTCTATGTCTAGATTTTTAAATAATAAATGGAAGATCTGAGCAGTTAAGTTTGTCAGAATATTTCAGTTATTTTGTTTAATATATTTAAAAATTTTCCCTATAAGAAATTAAACAGGCACTTAAATGCTCAAACAATACACACATGATTTTATTTTCAAAATTAGAGAAAAAGGAAACACAAAAGAAAACGAACTGTAAAGAAAACAAATACTCTGCCTGATAATTGAAGCAAATAAAACTTTTCAAAGTATGATTATGAAAATATTAATAATGCCATACTTTATAGCTGTGCAGCATCAAATTTCTATATATGTGCCTATAGTTTTACTCTTATATATATTTGCATGGAAAACCCAATAGTTTTGACAACGGGATAGACGTGATTGAATTTTATTCAGTCTTAACTATTCAAATTATGATATGACTGTAGTATTAATGATGCCATTTACTTTGGTACATAAAATCTCAGTTTAATTAATTACCCTTCTATGGCTTTGATGTCACAGTTTTTATTGTGTTATTGAAATACGACATTAAAAACCAGTAAGAGATGTACTGCAGTCGTCAGAGATAAAGATTTAAGATGAATTTAAAAAAAGGGGGCTAAGAAGGGACTTGAATGAGTTTGCACTGAAGAGAGGAAAATCCAGGCCCCCCGGATTTCACAATTCCTGTATCCGCCCATGCGTTTTCGCTAAAGTGGAGGTGACCATAAGACCGGAAAGACTGATTTTGCACGATATATTATGGGTCCATCCGACAAAGCTAGTAATAATTTACGACGTCTAAGTTTGCAAGGCTGTACTGTAGTAGATCTTGGTTATAATTCTACTGATATGAAGATGTGACATTAAGAAGACTTTATTCTTAGAAATTCTGTTATGTACCAAATCAGTTAGGAATAGTGGATAATTACAATAAAAACATGGGTTGATGATGATAAAGTTCCAATAGATCATCCAGTTGCCATATACATGGTGTTTGTTAGTTTGCCATAAACATTTTCAGTCAATTATAAAGCATTCAAAAATGAAAAAGGTGTGGTAGATTTTGTGGAAGTTTTTTTTTAATGCATTGAGATATACTGGGTATTACTCCAGTATACGAGGGGGTGATCAAAAAGTTAGCGAACTATCTCTATATTTTCAAAAAACAATTTTGTGACACATAGTCTTAAATTTGGCATAAATAGCATATAAAATTTGATTGTTTTAGCGAAGGAAGGGAGTTGCTTAAAATTATGTTTATACTGTTGTCCAGTGAAAGCATGCATGATTGTGTCCTTTGTCACAATTTGATAAAAGATCGTCAATATGTAGATCTTTACTTATACGACAAATAATGGTTGGTGTGTGTGATATGTCTTGTATTACATATTCAAGGGTTCAAACCTGTTAACGGCTGTATATACACAAATATATACAAATACATATATATCTTGGAATATTCCAATTTATATCCAGTGAAAGCAAACTGTAGTGGAGATGTGTCCTTTGTTTAGCAATTTGATATGGAGGATCGCCAATTTACAGTTAGAAAAATTGTTGAATATCTTTACAATAATATAATTATTAAATCCCTAAAATACCGTTTCCTTGTAGACTTTAAAAATATTTTTTATGTTTAGATAAAAGAAAACGTGACATTAAATAACAACCATTTCGTTTCACTTATTAAATCATTGACAGAGGACTTGGGTTTTGATGAAAAAATTTGTACTCTACTCCTACAAGCAAAAAAAAAAAAAAAAAAAAAAAAAAAAAAAAAGGAAATGTCTATTTCCCAAACACGAAAATCCTATTTCTTGGGGGGGGGGGGGGGGGGGGGGGGGGGGGGGGGGGGTATGCTCCTTATATAAATTTTCTTCCAAACATTTGGCCATTTTAACCTATACTAAACGTACTGGTTTTATTATATAATGTTCAAAAAAATATATTGCATGGTAAGAAATATGTAAATCCCTAAAAATCTTTACTTTAGCTTCTGTGACAAAACGCTACGAAGCATGTCACTATTTTGAAAACCGCAAACTATATCCATTTACTTTTTGGAAGTAATTTAATTAGTTCGCGAATTTTTTTATCATCCCTGGTATCAGTGAACAAATATTGCACATTAAAATTGGAAAAGACTAATTTGAAAAATTTTCAACACAGAAACAAACCCTATATATCATTTATTTTTGAGAAGTATTTTGTTGATCAAATAAGGCTCCTCTATCTTTAGTTGTACATAAAATCCAAGTTAATCTTAGAACACATTTATTTTGGTTTAAGTCATGTTGTAGTAAGACACGTTATCATAACAGAAATTTAAAAAAATATATATAATTATACACAACTAGACATTAAACTTTTAAACATACTTTGATTGTGCAATACAATAAAAAAAATCACAAACAATTCACAAATACAACTGGAAAAAATTCACACATGTAATACTTAAATATAGCATCACAGTTAAAATGAAAGAATATGGTATGCTTAAAAATTGTTCATTCAATACTTTAAAAAAAAAATTCCTTTTTTGTGTGATTAAATATATTAAGTAATCAAAAATTCCATAGCTCTATTAAAAAAATGTAAGTTATAAGCAAAGCAATTGAAAATTCCATAAGATGCATGAACAGTTTCATTTATTATTGAAATTATATTAAGTCACTAATTTGTATACAAATAATTAATTTGTCAAGTGATTATTTTGTATCAGATTATGACGTCATAATAGCCTTAAATAGCCATAGTAGAAATAAAATTTTAATCCACTTTAGCTGTCGTGTGAATGCAATTTAGTATTATACTTTGCATTAGTTTACTTCATACAATTAAATTCTCCGTGTGAACAGGGCATTTTAATGAAGATTCCCTCATTATATCTTTCATACAAATCAAGATTAAACCTGAAGTTATTTGGAAAAATTTAACTGCAAAAAAACATAATAGAACTCAACATTTAATCTAAAAATATGTCGGTCACATGCATTTATCTGCAGAATGATTGGTATTTTGCTTCTTTAGATACACCATCAATGCAAGTTTGGTTTGTACAGTTCATATAGAACATACAACTATTATGAAATTTACATGATCAAAAAGAATCAACCTATCAATATATTGTTAAGTTTTAAAATTAAAATGAGATCAAGATGGAATATATGTAAAACATTTTTGTATAAAATTCTCTAAAATAAAATTCTAAAAATTACCATAAATCATTCTGTTATCTTGACTAGATTAAAACAACACCTGAGAAACATGAATTTTTTTGTCATTAAATGATATCACAGCAAGCTTTTGATTACGTGTTTTTCTTGGAGTACTCTCCCCTAAAGCTGAGAAGAGCTTTTGTCTTAGATCCTGGCCTGTCCAGATTGATTGCATGACCACAGCGTGGAATGATGTCCACTCTTTGACAGTTGGGCAGTTTGTCCCTTAGTACACTGGCACCAGAAACATGGACAACCTACAGCATATATATGAACAGTTTCTGCTACTTGCATTGCACATTAAATAGCTAAAAGTATTAAAGTGAAGGTTTTTAAAGTACTGTAGATAACCAAATTTTTGCAATACTTTAACTTTGCGAGTGGGTCATTAACTCTTTATTAGTGAAACAAAATTTTCAAGAATTGTGGGTATTGCTCTCAGTAATCTTTCGTAATACAGTACTAGTATACACAAGAATGAAATTTTCTATATCCCACTGTCTCGCAATGAAGTTCTCACAAATAAAGTGATTTACCATACATTTTAGATGGAAAACTATTATTTTATAGATTGTAGATTCAATTAATATCATGTTATACAAAATCATCAAAAAAATATATAAAGCTGCTACATATTTATTTGATAATTTCTTTCAGTTTAGGCTTAGGGCACAAGTTTAGTCATGAACAAATAACTGTACACATGACCCTTATACCACAAAGGAGCCCTACCTGATCTTCTTGTCCCCACACAATGTGGGAGGGTACCATTATTCTTGGGGCTGTTCTTTCTAGTAATGTTGCATTTCCTTCTTCTGCAAGGCCCTTTAATACTGGCATAAACAAATATTGTCATTTAATAGAAACATATACTTTACTTTTTTATTAATATTGTAGCGGTCACACTAATACATGAAAATATAAATGTAAGGCATATAGTGACAGTAAAAAATCAAAATCATCAAAAAATTATATTACAACTGACTAAAAATTTATTTGATAATTTCATTTCCTTCAAAGATTGGATATTTTAATAAATCAATTATATAAGGTTTACGTTAATAATTTTTATGTGCTTCATATCATCATCTTGAATTTAAAAAACTCCAAGTTGTAATAATTCGGAGCTGAAATTTTGAACTTATCATGTAAATGTTCTCTACATCAAAATTTGAATGCTTGATTAAATAATATATCACTATATTTTTACATTTAAACTTTTCAACTTCCCAATTCATATGTCAGAACATCACCATATGGGAAATGAATCAAATTTTTACCATAGACCTAATGTACATAAACCTTTTCTTTGATTGATATTTTAATGCAACCTAATAGTAACCTAAATGTGCATTATTTACAAAAATTACAGAACTATAAACTCACATTTGAGATAAAATCCATGGTACTGTTTTCTCATTTCCTTCTTCTGCAAGGCCCTTTAACACTGACATAAACAAATATTGTCATTTAATATAAACATGCAGCACACAGTCATTTCATTCAAAGAGTGGAATATTCAATAAATCAATATAAGTTACATATTAAATAAATTTTACTTGCTTCATATCATTATCATGAATTTTACTTCAGAGCTGAAAGTTGGAATTCATCCTGTAAATGTTTTCGACATCAACATTTGAATGCTTAGATTAAATAATATTTCACTATATTTTGAATATTCATTTAAACTTTTCAACTTTCCTATTCTGACATATGTCAGACCATCACCATACAGGGACTGAATTTTTTTTTTAACATGGACCTTTAGTTACTTGTAATTTTCTTTGATTTATATTTTAATGCATGTAATAAGTTTATGTATCATTTCCAAAAATTATAAAACTAAAAACTCACATTTAAGATAAAAGCCATGGTACTGCTTCCTCATATCAATTACTCCCTGCAGAATCTACAAAATAAATCTTCCAAGTAAGACATACATTTGTTAACTCTGCAAAAGCAATAGTAATGTATTCATTACAATATTTTTGTATCAAACTAAATCCAAATGACAAACTAGAAATTTGTCAATGGGAAATGAATGACCAGCTCTGGATTTATTAGTAATGTAGCATGAACAAAATAAATCTTGCTTCTTTGTTTAACATTAGGATAAGGTCAAGGTCAAAAGGAAGGTTAAGGTCAGAAAATTTATACCCACTTGACAAGTGTAGACAGTACAGATGTAAGAATACTGAACTCTTGCATATACTATGAGTAAATTCTTTATAAGTTATCTTGGTAACCCTTTTGGCTAGACTCCTATTTACATGTATATATCATGAAACACTGACACAGAAAAACAATATGTTAATGCTAATAAAAACAGAAAACACAGCTAAAAGATTGGTAAAACTTTCTTAGCTTCTGTACCAATGACCAATGATTGGAATTTTAGACCATAGAAATCAAACAAACCTGTTTTGGAATAAAGCTACTCTTATGATACTGTGCAAAATCTAACAAATACTGCATTTCATCTGGGCTCTGAGGAAAAAGAGGGCAGTCTTTTAATATTGTGTCCTCGTCTCCTGATTCTACAGCTTTCTGTATCTCCATGGCAACAGAGGTCTGTTCAGGAGTTCTCACTGAAAATTAATAACGAAAAGAAAATGATAAGAAAGTACAGACAAAACTGAATACAATCTAAAAGAAATAGAGAAAACTTTGGTATCACAGTATCAAAAATACTAAACTAGAGGTACTGTGAGCAATGAGCTCACTAAATAATACCCCCAGCCTCCCATATGAATATAATGGCAGTATCCATGTTTTCCTCTGGAAAATCCAAAATATATGTCAGATCAAAAAGTAAAATAGGAGGTGCACAATGGCAATATGTAATAAAGATTCTGTGAAAGTTTCATCAAATTTCCTTCAGTGGTTTAAGATAATCTTTTAGCGGATAAAATGGGTACCCCAATATATTTACGGAAATACCGATTACTACACTCACACTTTTCAAGCCGGGGGTATAATGAGGTTACATGGACAAAAAGTGGTTGGGGCTTACATGTACAATGCAATTCAACCTTCAAAGTGCAAGAATAACAATACATGTACAGACTTGTCCCTAAGACCCAAGGACTGGGAAATTTCCCTGTCTATCATGATGTTATTCTGGCATTCCTCCTCAACAATCTACTAGGGCAGAGCCAAAGACACTCTTCTTTTTTTTAAATGTTCCCTGCTACTTCCTGCTACTTCCTTTCCTAGAGACAACCCTAATTTTGTATATTTTAACTAATTACCAAGTTTAGAAACTGTCTTGTATTCATTGATTCATAAAATTTTACTTCTTTACACAATTCCTTTATGTTCCTCCCCTATAACTTAGCTTACTTACTGGCAGGACACATCATGGTCACCCTGTCCACAACCTGTGGATACTCAGCAGCATACAGGCCTGCTATAGCACCTCCCATAGACAGACCAACTATATGTATAGGATCCCCTGACATCCCTAAAATCTCTATTATCTGTAATGTGTCATCAGTAGACAATGAAATGTTCAATTTATGTGAAAAAGCCTTTGCTAGCAAAAAAAAAATTAAAATTAACTAATCATTGCATAGTAATTTTTCTATGACATTTTTATGTTAATTACACTAAAACAACTGTGCATTAATTCATGAAAAGTGTTTAATTTTTTTTTCTATAATAAAATTAAAACATTGAACATTAAAATTAATTTCATACCATCTTACAAATGTGTTTAACTAAATCAATAAATGAAGGAAAGTTTACTCTGGGCTGTATCATTATACCTGGTGTACCATGCTGATAAGTCCTTCCAATGACAAGTCGGTGCCCTCCACTGGGGTCTCGCTTTCTCCGTTTCCAGGGAGATCTAAAGCAATGACATGAAGATCACTGGGGAGATTCTGTGAAAGATATACATGTACACCCTGAACATGGACAGAAATTTACATTTACTCCATAAAAATGTCCTTAATTTACGTGTTGAATATTGATTTAAAGAGTAAATGAATAAAGCAATATTTGATGAGGATGACTAATGAAGATGTTTACTTTAACAAGAGGTGCCCACATTGATTTGTCAGCTGAGAACCCATGAAGAAGTACAATGCTAGATCTTCCTTTCTGTTTATGTCCTTTCTCCCCATAACAAACTTTTCTCCCATTTAAAGTAATATACTTAATTTTCATTCCACTCCATAAAACTGTCATTCTGAAAGAGAAAAAAAGCCTTTTATCAGCCATCATTGATAAGCCACAAGTTTTCTTTCCATTCTATTTTCACAAAAATTTGTGGATTTCAAAAGTAGAATGGACATGAATCCTGTGGCTTGCGACAATGTTTGGCAACAAAAACACATTTCAGGAACCAAACAGACGCGGATCCAGTCATTGACTTCTAATGCTCCAAACCTCCGACTGTTCATTCCAATTTAAGACAAATCCATGTTTTCCAGGGGGGGTCCAAGGTCACTTTTTACTTGCTTTAGCATATGAATTTATAGCCTTGCAAATTTCAAAGACCAAAAGGGGGGGTATGTACAGGAACCATCTGAAATAACAAAATTGACATGCCAAAACAGAATTTTCAAATAATCCTCCAGTCGTGGTATGCATACTTAACAAAAATTCAGCTAAATTTTTTTGAAAAGATGCTGCTTTCTTACCTTAAGTAATAATGCACTATAAGCTCTGGTTTTTTCATAAAAAGGTAAAAAGAAGCTGCTGTGATTGTGGTTACAAAGACCAAAAGAGGATAAAACAGGGTATGTACAGGAACCATCTGAAATAACAATTGTCAAGAAGTATATTCAGACATAAGTAAAGGTTGTATTTTATGATTTATGATTTTTGACTTAATATAAAAACTTCTTCGTTAATTTTTCAATGTAAAGAATAGGTGGACTAAACCAGCCAAAAAAATGCCGTAAATTTAACTTTCATAAAATGTTTAATTTTTTTCATCATTTAAACCCCTGATATATTATCACCATGTATTCATGGTACAGATGTGAATTAAAAACGCTCTTTTTGAGGTAAACTAAATAAATATCGAAGACATGGTGCCTGATTTTTTCTTGAAAATCAATAGATAATCAGGGTCACACATTTTTCATCATCTGAATACATAGTCAGCACATGTTTGTCAGCGGTTCTTAAGAAAACTGTACTTGTATGTTGAACAAAACAGTCATATCAAAAGGAGAAGAGCCGACAAACGTGTGCTCATACTTAATTTAACAAAAACCATGTTCAAAACCAACTTCTCGCTTCCATTGTTTTGACTGCGTGAACCTTGATTTTACTTTGATTGACCTGTTAAACATTGCAATTCATCACGTGATGTCCACCTGTATTCTTCAACCTGACCTCGATCTAAATCATGTCTTTGAGCGTGTTTGGTTGCCATTTTCAGAATTACGCAAATTTAAAGTTGTTTTAATTTTGCCTGTCATCACATTTTAAAAATAATTTCCTATAAAATATCGCTGTAATATGCTAAGCATGTATTCAAATTTTTGGATTGAGAGAGGGATATATAGAGAGATGTCAACCATGATGCCGATCGATAGCTCCGCCTCCTATAAATATTGATATGTGACCTAAAAACCACCCAGGGTACATGTCAAATTGTAGAAGACGACACTTCTGTATCATTGCTTCAATTTTCATACATGCAAAAGGGCATTGTTTTTATACAAATGTTCTACCTAATATAATCAAGCAAACATAGCTCTTTCCATTGCTTATAATATATTTTGGATTCACTTCATTTACAGCTTGGTAGAGGAGTCACACAAAAGATCCAAAATGGGGTGTTAAGTCCACCCATTCTTTATATCCCATTTGCATGATTTGGACATCATTTCTCAAACACGCTATTATTTATGTTGACATGTATCCTATTTTTATTTGGCCACAAATGAGTCCTAACTTTAAAGGTAGATATAGATTATGATATGGCAACTTCATTAAACAGCTGTTAAATGCCCGAGACCACAGCTTGTGAAGAGATAAGTGCATATCACACGATCATAATAAGCTTGCTTTTAACTTCAGTCAATAGTAAGCCAATGTCAAAATTTCACATATTATTACTTACCCTTTTTTTTCTTTTTAGAGTGATTTGCTCATGTGACAAAAGATAAAAAATGTGATAAAAACAATCAATGCTAGCAAATTCTCGCAGGAAATGCTTCGGTGGGTTATAAAAGAGAAAACCAATTGCCGTATAAGTAGCATATTTCCGGTTTATTGAGAATCAGTCAGTGATTGTTGGGATATTCTTCATCGTCCTGATAAAAGCACATCATGCTTTTGATTTTCAGAATATTTCTGATTGTATTATTTTTTCGTGTAAATTAATTTTTTTATGTTTTTTTTTCAAAGTGTGCTTCATGAACGAGTTATCTAATAATATCTGTCCGTGTGTCAATACAAACAACACGATTTTCTAAAAAAAAAATTTTTTTTCCCCCTCATTCTTGATTTTGCAAGGCCATAATCTTTTTTTGCAAAAGAATTTTAGTGCGTATTTTTCTCGTATCGAATGTGTATAATTTCATTGTTTGTTATTGGAGGTATTTGCTACATTAAGGCATGATATTTGCACATGTATGTTTTGCTAGATAAAGTAGATTTATCTTTTCACTTTTATCAGAAATGTCCCTGTATGATGGTTTAGACATTGACAAAGAAGAAGGTGGGAGTACAAAGCCTGTAGTGGGTAAGTTTTATTATTTAGGCATGGTTAATAGAAATATAGCAAATGGCAATAAAATGCGCACTTTGTCCTGAACATGCTCAACAAGAGGCTTGCAATTTCATTGCCCGCTTGGTCAGTGGTAAGAGCATCTGCTCTAGAGTTGTGAAATAAGGAGTTGATTCTTACGTCACTGGTTTGAATCCCACTGTGGGACATGAAGACCGGTCCTTCCAATGTAACCATATCAACTGAGTCAGAGGTCTCTTGTCGCAGTAGGTGCTGGCACGAAAAAGATTCCTCACAGCTCAATGACCCAGGGGCCCGTTTTACAAAAGAACTTATGATTAAGACCAAAAACTTCAGATGATTGTAACATTCTACAAAATTAATGATTCTGTTTAAAATTGCTAGTGTAAAAATATCTAACTATATTCCTTTAAGAAAGATTAAAATTATTTTCGATATATTGTTGTTTAGAAAGTTATACCTGGGTGCCATAAGTTCTTTTGTACAGTGTATTAAGACAAAATTTGTAGCTGTGCACTGGCAAGTGGTGGCATCTCCATATAATTGAAAAATTCTTGAGAAGGACTTTAAACAGCAAACAATTCAACAAAAGCTGAAAGGGGCTTGCTCCTTCGTTTATAATAATTTTTTTTTTTAAGTTGTATTTTGCAAAATACTATATAACAACACAAGAATGATACCTTTTTGGACCCCCTTTCCATGATGTTACCTGTGTTTTTTGTAAACTGTAGGAGAAACAGCAGTTTGAGTGTAATTCACTATAATTGTATAATTCACTAATCCTGTTACATGTATCTAACTTTCAGCTGGATGGTCCTCTAACTACAAACTTCTGCAGTCACAACTACAGGCCAAGAAAGCATCCTCCTCCCAAAGCCGGGTAAGCTCAAATGCAAAGACTAGTAAGCTCAATCACAGATTTAAGTAAACTCAAAAACAATGTCTGAAGTAAGCTCAAAAACAGAGACAAGTAAGCTCAACAACAGAATGTAGTAAGCTCAGTCACAGAGTGTAGTACTTACAGTAGCTTAATAACAAAGTCTACAGTAGTAAGCTCAATAACAGGGTCAAGTAAACTCAAAAACAATGTCTTGTAAGGTTCAAACTTGACTCTGAACAAAAGACTCTGAACAAACCTGTACATTCTCAATGTTTCAGAAAGCTATAAAGAGTGTACCTGTCAGAGATTTCTTTTGATGTTAGGACCCCAACTGTGCAACTTTGACATGAATAATAAAGACATTATTAGTCAAATTATAAAATTTAATTTTTGATGAATAATATTCAAAATTTTAATTACATTCTGATTTCTATTGAACCAGTTATTTATCAGTGTTTGAATATGTTTTATATCTGTATCTTGCATTATCTTTGTACACACAAAGTATTATTTTTTATAATAGAAAAGTCCAAAAGGATTATATAAGAAATCCAATGATTCCGAGCTTTACTTCAACCAGATAACTGGCAGGGTAGGCAACAGACTATGTCAGAGTTCAAACATGTTTTATGTAGCAGAAAATGTTATATATACAAAATCTGTTTTTGAAAATTTTATGTTTAAATCAAATAAGAAATATGTACAGATTTATATCTTGAAACAGGTATAAGGCTTAAAGCCTTATTGAGACTTGTTATTTATCAGTGTTTGAATATCTTTATAGTTTTATATCTGATATAACAAATTTCGGATATAGCGAACTGATCTTTGTACACTTGAGGTTAGTATTATTTTTTATAACGAACTGTCAAAGATTATTAAAAAAATGATAAATTGAACTTACTTTATTTCCTTTTCGCATTTGATGGACAAAACTCAAGAAAACCTTAATGATATGTTTAGCTATATTTGCTTCAACCAGATAACTGGCAGGGTAAGCAACAGAGCTCAAAAGTAGAACTAATTCTGTTGAACAGAAAATGTAACATAAGTCTGTTTTTAAAAAGATTGTATGCGTGTGTACATCAAATAAGAAATAGGTACAAATTTATATATCTTCAAACAGGTAGGAATACTACTACAAACATCCAAATTTACATGAGTTTATTAATGAATGATTCATTCTTTTTCTTTTTTTTTTTCCTTTTACATCTGAAAAGAGTTTATTTGTTTTTGTATTTAGATAGAGAGGAGTCCCAGAATGCCTGCCAATCTTGGTAGCTCCCCCTTCATTCCTTCAGAACCCGTGCCCTCCCTGACAGGAGTGGCTGATGAGTATGACCCCCTCAGACCCAATGATTACGAGGACTTTGTCAAAAAGAGGAAAGAACAGCGAATGAAAGAGAGAGAGGAGGACATGAGAAAGAGAGATAATGACGAGGATCGACACTCCAGGTAAAATAATGTATTATATATGACACTATGGGTTGGAGAGGAATATGTAAGTTTTTGAAACTTTTGTCCAGTCCCTTTGACATACTGTTAATAAAATATGTTCAAAAACAAAACACTACAGGTCAACAGGTGTATTATACAGTAAAACACACTTATGATAATTGCCAGGGATGGACGATTTTGCATCTTTTAGTGTAATTCATTATATGCTTTAAGTTTATAAAAAAAAAAAAATCTTATAAATTAAATGGAATTTTCTGATGTCAAAAATGTAGCTTTATTTTAAAATCATATAAAGAATTTTAGATTTGCCTTGCATATCCCCTAAAAACTTGTCTAGATTAGAAGTGGTTGTAAGTGGCTGTGTTATGGTGTCTTACAGGAGACGTAGAGATCGGGACAGAGATCGAGATAGAGATCGTGATAGAGATAGAGATGATTACAACAGGAGAGGAGGCGGGGAGATGGAGCGAGCGCAGCGAAGGAGAGATGAGGAGGAGGAAGATGATTATCAGAAACCAATGAAACCAGGTCAGACAAAAAAAATCTGTCAAAATTAGATCATATGATCAGTTTGGGTTATAAATCAGGTCAGGAAATCAGGTTAGAAAAAAGTTAATTCTGTCAAAATTAGCTCTTATGGTTAGTTTAGGGTATGAAACCAGGTCTGAAAAAAGTCAATTCACATCAGCCAAAAATATAGACTTTTGGGCAGCCTAGCTGTGCCTGTAGAGTTCATACTGAAATAGTAATACTAAGCATTTCATTAAAAAAAACTTGAAATGACGAAATGATTTGTTAAATGACTTTTCTATTTTGATTTTGACAGGTGGAGGAGCTGCTATTGCCCCTCCCTCATCACTCATTGAAGAGGACCAGGTATCTAATGGTCAGTATGATCTCCATCAAATACAAGTATATTACTGTGTACCAGTGAAGTCAGCCCAAGTTTATATTTATCCATCAAAATAAAGGATTAAAAAAAAGAAACACTGAATTTTATTGGCTTACTACCAAAAGTTTTGAGAGGAAAGTAAACAGAGAACAATTTTTAGATGAATATGCATCACTGTCATTTGAAATTTAGATCCACTGAACACAAATGAAGTTATATTATTTAGTTTATGCATCCGTTTATTTGTTCTAATTTACAGACATGGGTGGTTCCCCTATTATGCCAAACAGATCGGGATCTCCACCCATGGGATACAGCATAGGGTTAGGGTAAGTTCATTCTGATGTTCTCATTTGTGTTGTATGATGGGCATTTTGATTTGCATGCTGTTGTTATCTTCAATTGGAATGCTGAATTACTTTAAAAAAAAGTATACCATATCCAAACTCAGACTTCTTAAAAAGAAATTAGATACTGTAGATCCCATATTTTGCACAAGTACATGTACTTTATATCGCAAAATGTCCCTTAAACATTTTGAGAAAATTGAATTGCAAGTGGACTTTTGATCTAGAGCTTTCAAATTGATTTCAGTTGCATAAAAATAATAGAGAGTAATTTTATTTTCATGAGTGGTGCTTCTCACAAAATTACAAAATAATTACATGTATATAAAAACTGATACTTTCTTATTCCAGAGGATCTGTGGCCTCTAAGATCATGGCTAAATATGGTTACAAGGAGGGGCAGGGTTTGGGGAAGTCTGAGCAGGGCATGAGTACAGCACTGTTTGTGGAGAAGACAAGCAAGAGAGGAGGAAAGATCATACACGAGAAAGATCTACCCAAAAGTAAGTCATGACACTGTTAGAAAGATCATACACAAGAAAGATCTACCCAAAAGTAAGTCATGACACGGTAAGAATGATCTACCCAAAAGTAAGTCATGACACTGTAAGAAAGATCTACCCAAAAGTAAGTCATGACACGGTAAGAATGATCTACCCAAAAGTAAGTCATGACACGGTAAGAATGATCTACCCAAAAGTAAGTCATGACACGGTAAGAAAGATCTACCCAAAAGTAAGTCATGACACTGTAAGAAAGGTCTACCCAAAAGTAAGTCATGACACTGTAAGAAAGGTCTACCCAAAAGTAAGTCATGACACAGTAAGAATGATCTACCCAAAAGTAAGTCATGACATAAGAATGATCTACCCAAAAGTAAGTCATGACACTGTAAGAAAGGTCTACCCAAAAGTAAGTAATGACACGGTAAGAATGATCTACCCAAAAGTAAGTCATGACACTGTAAGAAAGGTCTACCCAAAAGTAAGTCATGACACGGTAAGAATGATCTACCCAAAAGTAAGTCATGACACGGTAAGAAAGGTCTACCCAAAAGTAAGTCATGACACGGTAAGAAAGATCTACCCAAAAGTAAGTCATGACACGGTAAGAATGATCTACCCAAAAGTAAGTCATGACACGGTAAGAAAGATCTACCCAAAAGTAAGTCATGACACGGTAAGAATGGTCTACCCAAATGTAAGTCATGACACGGTAAGAATGGTCTTCCCAAAAGTAAGTCATGACACGGTAAGAATGATCTACCCAAAAGTAAGTCATGACACTGTAAGAAAGATCTACCCAAAAGTAAGTCATGACACGTTAAGAATGATCTACCCAAAAGTAAGTCATGACACGGTAAGAAAGATCTACCCAAAAGTAAGTCATGACACTGTAAGAAAGATCTACCCAAAAGTAAGTCATGACACGGTAAGAATGATCTACCCAAAAGTAAGTCATGAAACGGTAAGAATGATCTACCCAAAAGTAAGTCGTGACACTGTAAGAATGATCTACCCAAAAGTAAGTCATGACACGGTAAGAAAGATCTACCCAAAAGTAAGTCATGACACTGTAAGAATGATCTACCCAAAAGTAAGTCATGACACTGTAAGAATGATCTACCCAAAAGTAAGTCATGACACGGTAAGAAAGATCTACCCAAAAGTAAGTCATGACACGGTAAGAAAGATCTACCCAAAAGTAAGTCATGACACAGTAAGAATGATCTACCCAAAAGTAAGTCATGACACTGTAAGAAAGGTCTACCCAAAAGTAAGTCATGACACTGTAAGAATGATCTACCCAAAAGTAAGTCATGACACGGTAAGAAAGATCTACCCAAAAGTAAGTCATGACACTGTAAGAATGATCTACCCAAAAGTAAGTCATGACACGGTAAGAATGATCTACCCAAAAGTAAGTCATGACACTGTAAGAATGATCATACACGGGAAAGAATTACCAAAAAGTAAGTCATGACACTATAAGAAAGATTTACAAAAAGTGTTCAGAGTGTCAAGAATCCATTGAAAACAAGTGGTGTCCATGGTGTTCATTTGGAAATCCGATAACTGTTGAGTCCAAAAAATCACTGTGACCATCATAGTAAGCTGCAGTCTTAGACATGAATGTTTCTTTAATCTTTCTCCAAACCTATCCAAACATACATGTTTATATTGTCCATCTATTAAACATACAGATACTCTATAACTGTGTGTACTATAAACCATAAAAAAAACTACAGACTTTAATAAAGGTACATTTCTTCTGAAAAATCTATATACTCTTGATACATGTTTACTGGTATTACTCTGTGTATTGATTTAAGAAATCTATAGAGATTCAAGCTTTTTTACAATCTATGTGTTTAAATGCATAAACATTCATTATCGACTGTGTCAGTAATCTTTACTCCATCATTTGTTACAGTTGTCGAGCCACCTTCAAGAGAACCTGCTTCAAACACAAATTTAATGAAAAATCCTTCAAAAGTGGTCTTATTGAGAGTGAGTTTGGAAAATCAAATCATTTCTAAAGAACTTTCAATCTGACCCTAGGCATGATTGGTTCATCTATTGAAGAAATATTTTCTAAATCATTTAAAGCTATTTTTAAAATGTTTATGGAAAATAATGCAAAAACAAATATGACAAACATTAAAAACAGTAAACATGTATTCCCTCTCTCCCTTTGTGTAGAGGGAATTGGAGTAAGTGCTACAGAAAGGAAGACAAATTTTAAATGAGTTTTTGATGACTTGTAGAACATGGTAGGCCCAGGAGAGGTGGATAAAGATCTGGAGCCAGAGACCGCAGAAGAATGCTCCAAATACGGAAGGGTCATCAAATGTGTCATATTTGAGGTAGGTGTTGATTATTGCAGCATCCCCCCAAAAAACCAAATACAGTAAAAACTAGTTTAAAAAATTGCTTTAGAGGAAATTTAGGTTATATGGTACTTTTTACAACTTACTCAGAAGACTTTCATGGTAGACGTTATAAGGCAGCAAAAGTTTAAGGTCTAAGTAAAATCCTGGATAAAGTTTTTTGTACTCTTTAAAAAAAAGATAAATATTTAAAAAAAAAAATAATTCCTGGTGATAAAATTGAGATTTAGTCCTTGGTTAAGATTTTTTAAATTACTATGCCTCTTCGAAGAAGGGGGGGGGGGGCATACATGTATTGCTTTGCTGCTGTCTGTCTATCCATCTGTTCATTTTCTTTGCAGAAGTGCAAATTCTAAAATTGAATTTGGTAAATTCTTTGCAGAAGTTGCACATACTGAAATAAAATTTGGTAAAACTATACAGATTTATCGTATTATTATTAAGAATACCTAGGCCAAGTTCTGTTTTGGATACAGTTGAGCAAATTTTGAGTGAGTTATGCCCCTTGTACAGCCTGTACTTAGAAAATTCCAATTATTTGCAGTTTTAATTCATTATCTTTGGATGCATGTCCATGTCCCAAGGAGGGAGTGGGAGGGGGTTAAGTGTTTCAAAAATTATTTTTATTAAATTAGTTGTTAATGATAAAACTGATTTTGTTACATGCAAATACAAAAATTTACACAACTATGATTTGACATTGGTAAGAAAGATATACATGTATGCATGCATGTTAATTTAAATCATATGCAGAAAAAAACAAAAACAAAACAAAACATATTACCTAACAAAGCCAATGATGTGAATATATACATGAATTTTCACTACAGTATTTCTGTTGGTAATTTTTAGATTCCTAATGGAGAGGATGATGAAGCTGTGAGAATCTTTGTTGAGTTTGAAAGAGTGGATTCAGCCATCAAAGGTAAAAGCATTTCATTTAGCTTGATTTGAAAATTTTCTGGGGTTGTATTCAATTATTGAAGTGCTTTTTTAGAGTATGCATTTATAAACTAATGGGTCAAAAAAATTGATCATTTAATTTCTGTCAATATATAAAAAAAAGTCAGCACACATGTCATTCAACTTACATTTATCAGTTTGTCTGTAATTTTTTTGCCTGTCCCATGAACTCTTTTTCTTTTACAGCTATCATTGACTTGAATGGTAGATTTTTTGGTGGCCGAGTCGTCAAAGCTTGTTTTTACAATTTAGACAGATTTCGGAGACTGGATTTAGGTGGAGAATTAGACTCCTGACCATAGTGTATTATCATCATCAAGTCACATTAACCATTCATTCATGTCTAATTTTAATGCAAAAGTTGGTTTATATAGTGCAAAGTGATAACATTGAATGACTACAGATTTTTAACGAGGCTAGGGGGTGGAAGCCATTTTTAGACTATTTCAATCTCCTTTAAAAGGAGAGCTTAATATAAAGATATACAAAATGATAAAATTTTAAAATCAAAATATATGAAATTTTTCTTTGCCAAATGATAGTTGACAGCTAAATATATACCGTATCCAAAAAATAAGTTAAATCTGGTGGTTAATTTGGGATTAAATTTTTGACCCGCCAGCCTCCTTAAGAATTGAATTTGAGATGTTTATGTACTTCTTTGAGTCAGTAGAAAGCACTGTACATTAACATTTGTGTAATCCTAAAAAATTCTGTGTACAATTAACATGCAGTTTGATAATGGAAAAGAAATGCAAGTCTTCAACAAATGAAGACTACTATGTTAGCTCATTAAATATGCCATACATTTAAAGTTTCTTTATTTATTTCATTGTGTAAAGTGCTTGTGGATGAGGTTATGGAAGAAAGCTGAAATTACTGGGTAAAAATTTTGAAGGGGATTGCTTATATGTATTTTACCATAAAATTGTACGTTTTGAAATTCTCCTCTGAAATTAAACATACCTATATATAAGCTCTCCTGTACTGTAGTTTATGGAAGTAGATCTTTGATGGGTGACCTTTATTCCGGCTTTGACAGCCTTTTATGTTGAAGTACTCTTAATAAACAGACAATTGTCTGTTTAATCATGCAGGATGATTCTTAATTTATCAGATTTCAAAGAGAAGCAAAAAAAAAAAATTCATTTACAATGTTAGGAACTTTGTATTTTAATGCAACTAACCAATAGGTACTTTTTGTACAATTATGATCCATTTGGGAGGATTTAGCAGGAATGTTACACGAACTGGGCATATGACTATACATGCATCTATATTACCAATAGAAAACTGAATGAAAACAGTGTTTCTATTGCACATAATCCATATACATGCATATACAGTGTATATCGGGTTTGGCTAGGAAATAAGGCATGTATATGAAATAACTGGGCCCAGATGGAACATTACAATTTCAAAGGAAAAAGCAAACAACCATTATATGCTATTTACTTTATTCACCTATTTATGTACAATATAATAGAGAGTACATAATGATGTCTCTGCTATCTTCGTTTCCCACGATGCACTGTAGTCCAACCCTCCTCCTCTTCTGTTTCCATTTTTTCTGAAATATTTGAAAATTTGCGTAGTAAGTTAAAATGTTGTGTCTCAGCTTTCAGTTTAAGTGAGCTAAAAGGGACCATGGAGGACAAAATATCTCTAAAAAACTATGGAAATTTAACAATTGCGCAATATCCCTGTACTGACCCTCTTTTGATTCCTCTTTTCCTTCTTTGGATCTAGTGTTATCAGTTCCATTATTTAAGCCTCCATTACAACTGGCTTGTGATAAGTTACTTCCCCCTGGTCGATCACTGTCCTATAAAGATATTTGTATTACAAAAAAAATTGCCATGTATATGATAAAGATTTTGAAAATTATTCTGAAAGCAAGATCCTCCTCCTCTGACCTCTTCATCTTCCTCCTCCTCCTCATTACCAGCCACTCTTGAACAGTTCTGGACAGCAGCTTTAGGGAGGCACCTTACTTGTTCTCTGACTTCATCTTCTTTGCCCTCACAGCACAGTCTGTAAACTTTGCATATCAAAGTTGATATCTGAAAATAACCATTCCTTATTCAAGTATAACAAGGGATTCATAAACAAAGTTCTGACTTGTAGAAAGACCTTGTGGAATTTAATAATGATAAATTAGAATAAAAAAAATGTGTATTAGTTTTAGATATTTTTTTCATTTATTGTTATTCTTCATTATTAGTTAAGATTAAGCATTATCCTAACCTGTGATAAACTTCCATCCTCAACAATAGTATCAAACTCTGTATTCATGACGTCAGCCAGAAAATCATCTAGTTCATACACCTCTATATCCTCTTAAAAAAAAACTATAATAATTATTCTCAGCTCAATCGTACGATAGATTTTTAAACAGATGAAGTAAGACACTGTGAAATTTTCTGTGCAACTTTTAAACTGACAAATTCCCCATTTTCTCTGATTTTGGCATGAAAATACACCCATTAGCCCGTGTAATTTTTAAATGGATGAATTGTTATTAGTTGTTTACAAATTCTTTAAATGATTAATCATAATACATATAACCTCTATATGCTTACTGTTTTCTCTGAACCACTGATCCACTGCCGTGATCATCCATTCTGCCTTCTCTCTACTCTCTGCACCACCGAAGCCCTGGTTGACTGCTAACTTCAAAATGACAGAGAGAAAAAAATCTATATAACTCCAGATATTGAAGCCCAAATTTCGTTAAATGTAAATGGATAATAATTACCTGAAGTACAGTCCAACTGTCAAAAATTGTCGCAACAGCAGCTGGAAACAACGTGTTTTCCCCGGATGTCATGATTCTAAACAAGATTTGATTAAGTCGTACGTGTAATGTTTCAGGTACCCTCATGAGAGAAAGAATGTAACAAAAATAAATTTTATTTTGCTATTTCTTTATTCCGTTCCATACAACATTTAAGTAAACAAGCAAAAAGTAATAAAGTGCAAAATGACAATAAAAAATATCATATGTAAAAAATAATTTTACAAATGAAATACGTTATCTATTTGGTAATCTAAACACATTTATGTATAAAAAAAAAATGAAAAATGAAATGAAACAATAACAGCTTCATTCCAAATAAATACATATACCGGTTATTATTCGTAATGATAAGAAATCATGCTTTTCTTTCGGAGAAAAATGAATGTTCTAGTCCTGATTTTTTCTGGCTTTCATATGCAGTAATTCTGTTCCTTTTTGACCCTTTAGACTAGATTTCTGTAAACCTGTGAGGGAAGAGACAGTTTCCAAATCCTCAAATTTAACAACACCCGTCCGACGCACCCTAAAACCAATTCAACAAATAAAAATCAGCACATGTACATGTTTGACATTATGCATATGTTTGAACTGCATGCATATCATTATGTTTATGAACAATGTGCACGTATAGTACAATATTTCGTTCATGTGGAAATACGTACGACTTCGGGCTGTTCAAATATTTAAGTGTCGATTTTTGAACTACAGCAGATATAATTCAAAATAAGATATTATATTCCAAATTTTTTATTTTCATCTGATATTCCAAAAGATTGGGAGGGAAGATATGTAAAAAAAAAAAAAAAAAAAAACAAACAAACAAACAAACAAACATACATGTACCGTTGTTTTACCAGAATATAGAGCTCAATATAAGAGCTTTCTCTCTTAAAGCCAAATAAAGGAATTAAAAGATTTAGCCGCCTTCAATGACTCCCTATAAATGATATATAACAAAGATTTTTAGAAGTAAATTAAAGGCAAACTCCAGATTAAGATTTCGACAGAAGGAGTATAATATAGTCATTCAAATTCTTATCTTCCTTTATTTGTAAAAACAATTAAAAAAACTAAATAAGTTTTTGTAATTCAATTTTGAAGTCATGTTCATACATGTATATTATTTAAACAATAAAATACTTTCTTTGTTTGTTATTACTGGAATGAACGGAAGCAGCTGTTGCAGAAAAAATACATAACCCGCGTAAGCGGGTTATGTGAATTTTTTCTGCAATAGCTGCGACCGTTCATTCCAGTAATAACAAACAAAGAAAGACATTTTATTGTTTATATTTATATCTGTTTAAATTATCATTTTAAGTAGGATTAAAAATATTAATTATTGTGTTAATGATGCGAACGTCTTTGTACGTTTCATTGATGGAACGGCCACTGATCAAGAAATCTGTACAGGTGATATGCCTCATGTAGTTCATGCAGTGATGAACGCAATGGGTTTTCTTAAGAAATAAAGAAGAAAATATTCAGTGGATGTAAATATAATGGTCTAAACATTTTAAGAATTATAAAATCATATGAATAGACCATGATGAACTGCTAGCTTAAAACTTCATCTGTGTCTTACACACCTAGTTCATCGATTCTTCTTCCCAAACTGGACAACATACATTTTAATTTCATAAAACCAAACAAGGCTTTCAGCAATTAATCGACATTCTTTGATTCAAACCTATAGTGATTCACAATAACGGGACAGTCTCCATAATAAATATGACCGTTTAACACCGTACAGTTGTATTCGGTGCGTAGGAATTGTCACAAAAATATTCCTCGATCTGTATAATTGTGCCTCAGGTATAAGGTCATGTATAATATACATGTAAATACTAGTATTTCAATTCGAAGTAGATTTCGGTTAAATAAAATTCCGTACTTCAGTCAATGAGTTCACAGATTCGCCTATAAGTAGTGCTCAAATCATCGAATGAACTTTCGAAGACACTACTCATAAAACAATCTTGCATTATAAAGAAAATGTTTATTTCTCAAATGTTTATTTCACCCTTAAATAAGACCGCGGTTTTGAATCATACATTCACTCTTTGCTTTGAAAACACCTCAGGTGGATTGAAAATGAATTTCGATCTCAATCCGATGTTTTCTTCACGTCCGCGTCGAATTGTACCCGCCCATTTCATTGTCTTTCACTGAATGTTTTGATTGTAACAGATAGAAATAACGTAAGCTGTATATTTCCAATTTTGCCAGTTAATGTTCCGCGGTCTTAAAAATTATAGGCTAAAACTCATATTAATGTGAACTTCAAACAATATGTATTTGGGAGTTGAAATTAGTTGATTTTTGGATCATACATTCACTCTTTGCTTTGAAAACACCTCAGTTGGATTGAAAATGAATTTCGATCTGCATTTTCCCCACGTCCGCGTCGAATTGTACCCTCCCATTTCATTGTCTTCGTCTATCACTGAATGTTTTGATAGTAACAGATAGAAATGACGCAAGTTGTATACCAGTTTTTGCCAGTAAATGTTCCGCGGTCTTAACATGCACGTATGATAATTAAAACATGCTTTATTTTTAAATGATAATGCTATAGTACATGTAATTGTAGCAAAAACGAGTCTTTTACTCGTTCGCGTCAGTGCTCTAAAAGGTGATAAGAATGAAAAGTTAAAACGTATTTTTAAAATTTATTTTCTTTTTTGATATCAAAAATAAAATGGAAATAACAATTATATGTATTTGCCCCGTAAAACAAAAAATCTATACGTTTTTTCATCTTATAAAAGAAATGATATCCATTTATACTGTGCAAAAAAGTTTTCACTCGGAAGTGAAAAAAAAAATTATTATACGAAAAATTACTAATCCTCAGTGAAAAAAATAAAAATATAATTTTTTCATTAAAGCGAAGAAATATCTGAAATTACAAAAATGGCAAATTCGCTATAATTTTCGAACCATTTAAAAAAATATCAAGAAAATCAAAGAAAATGAAAAATAGAGCAATCATTCCATAAGCCAATAAAACGATGATGTCTTTGAAAAACACAAGATGATGAATTCCCAACTACATACACTTTATATTCATTAACATCCAACTATATCATACAAAAACATTTATCCACTGAAAGTGCATATGATGAAAGTATTATAGGGATGGATGGTTGCTACACACTACTGATGTTAAGAGCAGTCTATTTCAAGCTTTCCACCACTATAACTATTATAGGTAGGGTTGGTAGCAGAAAGGGCATATTCCTCAGATTGATCGAGTTTAGTAAACGTGGGTGCGATACTATCGTCCCAGAGTATGGCATCCTTGTCAGCGCTACGTTTCCTGGAAGAGACAAACGGTAATGTTATTTACTGACAAGGCCTGCAAACCAAAAACTGAGAACATGCAGACTTAAGTCAAAATTATGTTTTTGAAAAGCTTGACGTTTATAAAATGTACGTTATCAAAAGTTTGCAAGTTTGTATAAATTTGCAATACAAACATCCATGGTAAAAAATTTTGTGTTGTTACTATGATTAATTCAAAAGTTATATTGATTTTAAATTCTAATTCAAGTCTGTTCTCACTTTATGGTCATAGGGCTTTCTGCTTGCTTTGTAAACTTTAACAATAAAATGTCTTTCTTTGTTTGTTATTACTGGAATGAACGGAAGCAGCTGTTGCAGAAAAAATACATAACCCGCGTAAGCGGGTTATGTAAATTTTTCTGCAATAGCTGCGACCGTTCATTCCAGTAATAACAAACAAAGAAAGACATTTTATTGTTTATATTTATAACTGTTTAAATAATCATTTAAAGAAGGATTAAAAAGCTTAATTATTGTATTAATGATGCGAACGTCTTTATACGTTTCATTGATGGAACAGCCACTGATCAAGAAATCTTTACAGGCGACATGCCTAATGTAGTTCATGCAGTGATTAACGCAATGGGTTTTCTTAAGAAATAAAGGAGAAAATATTCAGTGTATGTAAATATATAACAATTATGTACAAGTATATGTACCTCGCTGAAACATCTTTGTTTGGAAGAGGATGTAATTAAACTCTTCAAATAATAACTTTAAAAAAATACAACATGTAAATCATGCTTAGATTTTCCTCCCGCAATGTGCCTGTAAATGGGTAGATTATCACATGTGTTCTTAATGAACTGCATTATATAATTGGCGGTATTACTGGGTATATATTTTTCCTTTTAAAAAGGTTAGCAAAAAAGTAACGTCAAATTAATTTTTTAGAACTTCACGGTAAAAAGTTTGACATTACCGAAACTGACACCAACAAACAACGTGCTCAACGTCAAGTGTGATATTGTGATACAATAAGCAAATGATCAATATCCTGGAATCACAATATGTAATTCCTGGATGTGTTTAGGATATACTTTAAAAGGGATAGACACTCTGAAAATATGTTTAGTAAAAACGTCAACAACATCATTTTATTTCTACCAAGTAATAAAGCTTTATGTCTTTTCAATGTATTTGACTTAACGTTTCAGTCAAAAGATACACAAAACTTAGGTAATTAAAGCAGTCAGGGATACGTATAATGGTGGAAAACTTTGTTTCTTGTTCTTAATGGACACAGTTTCAACAGAACTTTTTTTTTCAAACCGTTTTAATATATACAATTCCTTATTGAGGCAATTCAAATGTTTAGCAAAAACATGAACATCATATATTGATTTACAAAGGGGATACAGAACTTAAAATTCTTCGTAATGTGATCTAACAAGGCTCGTTCCTTGTTTTTGTTTATATACATATAGAAAATACCATACACTGTATTTATAACAAAACAGGATTCAGCAAATCATTAGAAACTGCATGTCTAATCATATTTAGAATTAACTTTTTTTTAATTAAAAAAATCTGCTATAAATGATCATATATTAATATATTTAACCTATGTATGTTAACAAATTTATGGTACGAGACTTTACATATCAAAGATTTGGAGCTCTAAATCTGCCTTGTGTTTAGAAGATCATTAAAAAAAAAATATTTAAGTAATCGTAAACATAGTAAACTGGAAAAAATTGAAAAGTTTTAGCTGAAACTGTGTCTATGTCCCTTTAATAATGAAAACAAATATATAAATAAGGCATATTCTTTAAAATTGACTAGAAAATTTATGGAGTTTAATTTAGTAGATTTTCTTCCTTTGAATCCGAATTTACAGCATTTATTTGCACATGTATGTTAAAATGATACTTTTCAATAATGTAAAATATTAGGGGATATTATACTAAAAATCCTCAAACAATGATATGTTTGATTAAACAATTACATAAAAGATTAAGTAATGACATAATAGATTTTGTAAAATAATCTCATCATGCAGGCGAGGGCTGACTACATAATTATACAAATCTAAAGGATAAAGTACATGTATACACATACAAGTGCGTGTAAATAGGAAAACTGGCACAAACCTGACTCTCCATATGATAAAGCCCACAACAATTACCAGGACAAACGCACCCACAGAGGCTCCAATCACTACGCCCATGTTAGATTTTAGCCAGCTCTATGAGAAAAAATTTATTTATTATTATTTGATATTTATCATATTTAATTTCATTCAGAGTAAATGCTGACTGATACCCTGATCAAGAAATGTTATAGAAGTATAGAAGTGGAATCTGTTTTTTCTGTATATGGGGAGAGAGTTTAGTTGTAGGATCACAGATCATCATTTTTTTTCATTTTAAAGGGTCGTTAGAATACAATTTGCAATTAAAATTCACTCACAATCAAATAATAATCTGCTATACATTTAAGCGTTTTTCCTTAGAGTATATGGGTTTTTGTTCATGGTCTTTTGTTACCATTTCAGTACTTATTTTTGTTGTTGAAAGTTTTATAAGAAATGTATATACATGTATCTATAACAATTTCAAATTTTCATAATAAAGTTTAGATCAGTGAAAACTGAAGAAAACAAACAGTTTACTATCTAAAAAAAGTAATAAACCAGATTTGTCCACAGATCATAAACCATGAACTCCTGGATACTAGGGAAACAGGTGCCTAGATGGATAAAATAATTTAAGTACACCTAGTTGGTTAACCAAGTGTTTTACAATCTTATGCCAATTGGGCTGATTTAGACATTTTTTTAAAATAAACAAATTAATTTTATAAATGGGAAAAATGGATTTTTAGTTCATTCTTAATGTTCTTATTAGATAGTTATTCCCATTTCTTTTGAAGTCATATAATTAATATAATGTTTAAGAATACTCTTTTTTGAAGTAGGCTTATTAGCTATATAGACATGCGTATCTTTTAATTTTTCCATGTAAAACTCGTCCTGACCTTGTCCGAATTTTACCGATAATGACAAAGTAATATCAGATTAACTGATACACAAACTGCTCGTCTCTGTAAACGTCCTCAAATCTGTTTGTAAACATATTATGTTTCATCTATTTATCAAACTGTGTCAATATCATAAATTATCCAACAGAGTTAGCATCCTTAAACTTATCAATAAAGTTAAATTCCCCGGTCTTGTTCACCGACTAAGATTAACTTAATTTTAAAATTATATTAATTATATGACTTCAAAAGAAATGGGAATAACTATCTAATAAGAACATTAAGAATGAACTAAAAATTTCACCATCGGAATTTACAGTAATTGTAACAAGAGGACCATAGACCACATTGCTGATCTAAAGTCTTTCTGGCTTTGCAGTTGAACGGTATGACACAAGGTACCGTTTAACCACCGACGAATAAGTGCATGCATGAAACAAATTATAACCTGGCCAAATTACTAATTACCCCCCCCCCCAAAAAAAAATAATAATAATATCAAATTTTTCCAACTCCTGTCCCGGTTTTTTGTTTATTTTGTTATGATTTGAACATATTTTATTGCGTAATTCATACAAAGGTTTTGGTAACAAGTTCTTGCAACTCCTTTCCCCAGAAAAAAACCTTTCCCTGTTCCGGGTGATGATTTGAACAAATAAAAATCTCAGTGTACATTATTTGAGTATGCTTCTATATAAATATTCCCACTCATCTCTGAAAGATTTTTAAAAAAAATTCCATATAGAAATAATATTCCTCAGTAGAAGTTAGGATACAAAGATGCTATGTAGCTTGGTTAGAGTCATTCTTACAAAAAAAAGAAAACTTTCTAAAATTATGAAATAAACTAAGCAACATTAGCATCTCAATATGGCATCTTCAATAAAATCTTATGTTTTTTACTTGACGATTTTATTTCATATCAAAAATTTTTGTTATCAAAGTCTGTTCCGAATTTATGCACTTGACTGTTTATTAACGCCTAAGTTGTAAATAAAGTACAGATGACTGAGGAACATCTGTACTATGAACATGTCTTTATTAGAAAGTTCATACACTGGACGCTACCTTTGTTAAAATCTAGGACAAAATTGAGCTGATTAAGCTTAAGATATACAGCTATTTTAATTTGAATATCTTTATGGGTCGCGATTGCTTCATTTGTAAAATAATGATGAGCAGACTGTAAAAGTGTATTTGTAATAAATATTGATAGAAAAAATGTGTGTAGACACTGATCTGAGGTTTGGAACATAATTGTATTTTATAAATTAATAATACTAGTATATGTATGTAAATTTATAAAAAATAGAAACACAATCTTACTTGAAAAAATACGTATATATTACAAGCTATGAAGAACAGAGAAATAGACAATTAAAAAAAATCAACAAAACAGTTTAAAACTTATTTTTTTTCATTCTGCCCAAATCTACATGCTTTTACATAAATAAAGAAATGCAATGCAAAATAAGAAAAAGGCCCCTAAAAGGAATTCAAATTTATGTAAATTTTTATTAAAATGCAGCTAATGAATTCAAACGAATGGCAACAAAAACAAGAAGGTATTGTCATTGTCCCAGTTGCTAGAAATGATATTATATGTATAATATAAAATGTGTGTAATTTTGTTACACTTCATAGATACTGCCAGTTTTTCACTTTAATTTATAAATCCAAGCATTTTATATAACTATGCCTTGACTATTTTTTTTAAAGGATCTGGAATACGAGGGTTGATCCAAAAGTTCGTGGAATTTCTTCATATTTTATAAGTTTTTAAGTGAAATTGCATGAAAATTACACATAAGAATATAAACACTTGTTGAATATTATAAATAAAAAAACAATTTTAATATTCATGATCGTAACTCTATGGCAGTTGCCATAGAAACGGTTGTTTGGAAATGCGGGGGAGACATTAACACGTTTATTATCATCATAATTCTTAATACGTGAAATGTGAATAAAACCGCCCTATGTGGTATATAAAACGAAAATTATATCATTATTACGATTGTTTGATCTTTTATAAACCTTTGTATGAGAGTTTTACTGAATTTTCTGGATATTTAGTTTATTAGTTGGTGATTAATTGTTCATCTTTTTAAAGTTGTTAGACAACGTCAAATTTCGGTCAAGTCACACGTTTTGTTGAAAATTCCGGGATCACTCTATCTGAAACGTGTATATTATTGATATAGGCTGAGTTAAAATGCATTTAGTTGCTGGTTTTCCACTGGCATAAGAAATCTAAGAAAATAGAACGTCCATGGACGTTCATAAAGGGGGCGCTGTTTTAAGTGTTGATCCACTTAGACAAATTAAAAGTGTTAATGGACATTGTCGGCTGACGTACTGTTCTTGACATTGCTACTGAAATTGGAACATCATATGGAAAGATTGGGAGTATTTTAAAATATGAGTACAAAATGGAGATAAGTTGGTGCGAGAGTATACCAAGGCTTTTCTAGAGAAAAAAATGGAGAAAAGGGCAGCATTTTGTAGAATTACATATTCGAATTGGACATTAGGGTGAGAAGCTTCTATAACGTGACGTGACATATCAAACTTGACGTAACATCGAAGTCTCCCCCGGGTTTCACAACAATCCATTTTGCGAAAGCTCGTGTAACCTTATTGATAATTGGAAAGTAGTGAAATTTTCCAATATTGTTGCATTATGACTCTATATTATAAATATGCCTGTTTTTGGCTTTCATCAAATCACGATAAAATTTTAGAAAGAAATTCCACGAACTTTTGGATCAACCCTCGTATTTGCGTCTTCAGTAATTTCATTTTAAAAAAAACGAGGATCGTTTAACAAGTAATGTACAGTTTTTCATAATAAGTGTCAAGGGCATTTGACTTTTGTTCTATTAGGAGCTCCTAAACACAAAGAACATGAATTTTTCCATGTACCTTGCAAAGGAATTCACTTTTAAAAAAAGGATGGTCACTATATTGAGCTTAAAACTATTTTAAATGATTTCTGCCAAGAAGATGAAAATGAGAGCGCTTGTACATGATTTGAAAACTGCTTTTTACAAAAATCGTGGACAAACTAATCTTAAAGATAAGGTTCTTATATGTGGGAAAAATACCTTTAATGCTGTATACTTTTGAGATTGATTCAATAATTCCAAATTAAAAAAAGAGGGTGGGTGAGTTTAAATAAAAAATTCAAATTGGTCGATTGAGGGGAATAAAGAAAATATGGATGTTGTGTGCTAGATGATATCAGAAAATGTTAGATTTACATGAAAAGACATTGCTAAAAGAATGAAAATTTACAATGTAATCATCCCAATTCCGTCAAAGAAAAAAAATTACAACATTTCTATCATATATGTGCCCTTTTTTCTTTCTGTTCATGGATACAAAGTCTTAAGACATGGGTAAAGGGTAACAGGGAATGCAGTGAGGGACTGAAACTATAGTAAGAATATGTATTACGATTTTTTCCTATTTTGCATTACTTATTGAACGATCCTCGTTCACAACATTTTAAGGAGATTTTATACCCAACAAAAGTTTTATTTAAAATTTTACCTTTGTGTTTTCGGGTAGTTCTGTAACTTCTATAGATTTTGTAGATTTAGCTGTAAATATAATAGAGGTCAACCTTTCTTTTGATTCTGCATACATATTTCATGATAATATTCTATCAATGATTATATGGCTACTAGCAATCATACCTGTTGACTGAGAAATAGATGATGACCTTGATGGAGAGGTGGGTGGTCGAGTAGGCCGCGGCAGTTCTAAACAAAATTATCATTATCCTTATTGTAATCACAATGATCCTCATTCCAATTTAAAATGCTAGTAATCAGAGCATGTGTATGGATATTCTTAATTCAATTATCATATTTTAGATAAGATTAATATGAAGAAATCGAAACTCACCTCGGAGTACTATTTTGGCGTGAGTAATATTAAATGTTTGTGCTAGAGCCTGAATGTGATTGGATGGATGTTCTTCCAGTTTCTCTATCCCCTTTTCGAACACGTCGATGACAGTGTTGTTCGTTACTTCTATAACGGTTCCATTAATTAAATCCACTTCTGGATCCTTAAATGTCTGGTTGTATTGAATGTCAATACTACCTCGACTGAAAAGATGTAAATTTAACATAACATTTGTAAGAAAATATTCTATTACCCAGATCAACGCAAATATAGTAAATACTAGATGAGATCTCGTTGCGAGCAACGAGCAAGTTTTCCGTCCGATTTCTTGATAAGATAAGATGTGATTTTGACTGAGATATTTGTAAAAAGAAAATGAATTAAAGTTTTCCTCCATTAAAATTCCTTCTTTTGATTCATATAATATCTTGAATATCTTTTGTTCAATATGGTTTATTAAAATATTCCTCCTTTTCGAGAAATAAAGCGTCAAAGAATAGCATTCTGGTCCCTTGTGACCTCTTTTTATGTAACATTTGATCAAAATTTTAAAATACTATTTTGTTGGAAATCATAAAGGTGAATGCCTTTTGCTTCAGAAATGTATTATAAAATATTGATCATTGAAGAGTTAAAGATGAAAGACTTTCGGCCCCTCTGAGCTTCTAATTTGAGTAGTCAGCCCCCTTTTCTTGACAGTCTTGTGATTTAAAAGACTCTTTGTTCAACACCTATTCATAGATTTCTTTTCGTTGTGGAGATATGCTGAATTGAAATATTTAGGGGTCATTCCTACAAGTCCTTAATGGGGCCATTGTACAAAAATTCAGAGTATGCAAATTGTTTAAAACATTATTCTGACCATCTTTTGTTCAATATTGCTTATCAATATATTCCCCCTTTTCGAGATATGAAGCGTCAAAGATTTAGCATTCTGATCCCTTGTGACCCCTAATTACGTAATATATGATCAAAATTTCATAATATATTGTTGCAAATCGTTAACATGAATATATTTCCTTCTGTAATGTATAACAAAATATTGATCATTAAAGAGTTAAAGATGAAAGATTTTCGGCCCCTCTGAGCCCCTAATTTGAGTTGTCAGCCCCTTTTTCTTGATATCAAATGAAAGGTCTTGTGATTTCCAAGACTTTTTGTTCAACACCTATTCAAAGATTTCTTTTCGTTTTGGAGATATGCTGAATGAAAATATTTAGGGGCCACTCTTGAAGTCCTTACTAGGGCCATTTTACACAAATTCAAAGTATACATATTGTTTAGAACATTATTCTGACCATCTTTTGTTCAATATTGCTTATCAATATATCCCCCCTTTTCGAGATATGAAGCGTCAAAGATTCAGCATTCTGTCCCTTTTTGACCCCTAATTACGCAAGATATGTTCAAAAGTTTATAATATGTTGTTGCAAATCGTCTAAAATTAAAAAATAACGAAAGATCGAGCATAAAAAGTGATAAAATTTTTTGGACACACGGGGGATCGATCCCGGGTCGCCCGTGTGACAATCCAACGCGCTAACCATTTAGCCATCGGGATCGCCGCTTCGAGTTTTCAAATGCAAATATCTCGAGATTGGCTTTTTCGATTTTCAAACAAATTATATATTTGGCTTCTGCAAAAGCGTTTCTATTCAATTCAAAAACAAAAATATTAAAAAACAAAAGTTGAAAAATTTTGTTTATTAACCGGAAGTATTGACAATGCACGAAAAGGCGATTCTGCAACGCTATAAATCATAAACTATCATCTCCAATTAGTCTTAAGTTCATATCTTAAGCAGTTTTCGCTACTAAGTTAAGACAAAATTGCATTTTAAAATCAGAAAATTGTCTATATCTAACGACCGGAAGTGACGTCATAAAAACGCTGAAAAACCTATCAAGATCGATTGATGATCTATTACATATGAAAATTTCATATAAATTGACCGAGCCATTTCTGAGAAATCGCGTGCACAAAAATCGGTTGGAAAAAAATAATAATAGGGAAAAAGAAACCTAAGAATAACACTGAAGACGGAAGACCTTAAATATAATATCCATTGGTAGAGCAAATATCGACCTACGTGATACTGATGATTTCTGTGCTAATGTAAACACTTTTCAATTCTCCATTTTCATACACTGAAGCCATCTGGAAAGAAATATAGCCAGGTATGTATTCTTCCACAAAACATACGAATTACTGAATAAATATTTACTAAATATACGAGGGCTGTTCAGAAATTATTGAGACAATTACATTTACTCCATAAAGGACGGATATACTCACATGAAAATTCATCAACATTTTATAAAGAACGAATAAAACACATGCAAAATTTCTAATTCCTATGACAATAAGAAAAGTTTCGGTGAAATGATAAACATGCATATGTCTATCGACCCGGCGCAGCATCGCTACGTCATTTAACGTCACGTCAGCCGGAGTTGGTTGCGCATGTGACAGATCTGGAAGCATGTGTACTTTTCCTTCTTTGTAATTTCATATAACAGTACAAAAATCAAACAGTCTCTTTTCTTAAACTATTCCTTAAAAATGTATGCTGTTGCTACCTGAGTGTAAAATTTACATTTGTGGAAAAGATGACTTAAAATCATGCACTGCCGATTTATGCTAGCAGGTCAACGATATTAATATCGTAACGACATTAATACCGTACGTAATAACTGATGGTCGTCCGGAGCTTTTAATTTTATTCTGGTTGAATTAATTGTTAAAAAAATATATACCAATGAACAACAAATCTACAAACCCTAACACATTATTTTTTCTCGTTGTTATTGTTTAAGCAGGTCGTTGAGTCTAGAAAAGAGTTCTACATTGCGCTACACAAAATTTTAGTTATGTTCGCTGCTCCGCCCTTGACGTCAAAATCCATTTTTTTCGTTCTTAGCAGATTTCTCTACCGCGCTTAATTTTTTTATCATCTCCGTATTCCTGATCAAAATTCTAACAAAGTTGCATAACATGAATTTGAATTACAGCTGAAAAAATTATACACATAAACAGAATTATTTCCGCTCTTATTATGGGTCCATGAAGAGTTAGAACGTTGGTGTTACAAATTTTCAATATCTGATTTCGAGACTGCTCCGGGTACCCCTACTGATGACGCATTTATATACCATTGTACAGAAAATATTTAATATTTATAAAATATTTTTGCTTATATGTATTCTTGGTGTATGTCAAACGTATATGCAAATTTTCACCGAAAGACGTTCATTAGAAAGCAAAATATACAAAATGTCTCAATAATTTTCGAACAGCCCTCGTAATTTGACATTTTACATACCAACATTAGAAACTGATCTGAAATATTCTTGTATTCAGCGCTTGATTTGTTTTGTAGAGCGGGATGCCATTCCATGGCAAATTTCACATTTCCTTCGAAAATCACTTCTGCAGAGAAAAAAAAAGTCTTATTAAAAATCTAAATTTTATAAGCGTATATGATATAAAACTTTTTATTATTTTTCAATTCTATTGTCTAACCATATATGATGAATAGTGAATTAACCGTGTTTATACCTGTGGGTTTAGGAATAGTTGTTGTTTCCATGGGAATTGTTTGCGTGGTTGTTTTTGTGGAAGTGGATGTCATAGTAGTTGTTTTCTGGGATAAAAGTTGTGAACTTGTCACGTTATCAGGTTTGGCTGAGGTTGTTGTTTGAATCGTTTTCTTGCTTTCAGTGGAGGAGACAGGAGTTGGACTGGACATATTTGTAGCAAAGTTTGCAGATGCAGTAGATGTTGTAAAATCTGTTTTCATATTCTCTGTGGAAGATACTGGAGAAGAGGTAGAGGCAAATACTGGAGCTAAAGTTGAAGACCTGCTAGTAACTTTTTCGGAGGTTGAAAAATTATGTGCTGACGTGATGGCAGACTGAGAGTTGGCAGGTGACATTGATGTTGATTTTGAAGACGGGATAAAATTTTGCCTGCTTGTTGATGACTCTGATATGCTCTTTGTCGTACTTGAACTATTAACAGTTGTGTAACTCTGTGTAGAACTTTTGCTGATTACTTGAGCTGACGATGAGGTAGGGGGTACTGTTGGTGGAGCCGCTTCACAGAATTTCCCTGTAAAATTTCTATGACATTCACAGACAAAATTATTACCTGGGATAATTTTGCAGGTCCCATGAGCATTACATTTTTGTGCAAGACAAGGGTCCACAAGTTCACAGTTCCCACCAATAAAACCAATTTTACAAACACAAGAGTAATCAGAAGTTCCATTATAGCATGTGCCACTATTAAGACAAGGATTTTTATGGCAATAGTCGAAAATATTGCAGTGTTTACCGGAATACCCTTCATGACACGTGCATTTTGCTTGATGAATTTCACTACGACAGGTTCCATTGTTACATTCATAATTATGACAGTAGTCTTTCACTTCACACTTAAGCCCTTTGAACCCTGGATTACATTTACACTCAAAGCCATTCGATATATTATGACAGGTTCCATTTCCATTGCAGTCTATCTGGTAGCAAAAATCCTGATCTTGACAATCTTTTCCGAAATATCCACCATTGCATTTACAACTGTAATCGCCATTATTTGTAGAACAAATGCCATGACCGCTGCACGTATGATTTATACATGGATTTCTGTCTGTGCAGTTAGTTCCTTGGAAACCTAGTGCACAATGGCAGACGTAGCCATCTGCCTGCTGCTGACAAACTCCCCCATTTTGACAAGGTTTATTGAAACAGTAATCTATTTCTTCACAATCAGTTCCATTGAATCCAAGTTCACAATGACAAACATATCCAATGTCATTGTTGCTACAATTTCCCCGGCTATTGCACAAGTGTTGGTGGCAAAAGTTCCTCTTCTCGCAATTCCGACCGAAATATTCTATACCACAGTTGCATTTGAAATCATTGTCCAAGTTTTGACAAGTTCCGTTATTATTACAGCTTTGTGTGTCACAGAAATTCCGTTTTTCACAATGGGTACCGATGTAGGCTGAGGGACAAGAACAAGAGTATCCATAATCTTTGTTAATACACGTCCCTCCATTGGAACAGTTGTTGTGTAAACAATGATCAGTGACTTCGCAATTGGGACCTTTAAATCCATCTTGACAAACACATGAATAGTTTTGGTTGTTGTGTAAGCAAGTTTCATTACGGAAACATGCAGCATGTCGATTATGGCAGGTTCCATGCCCACTACAGTTCTGATGGTAACAATAATCACGTATTTGGCAGAAGGAACCTTCAAAACCTGGCGCACATTTACACATATAGTTAGAGTTTCTATTTACACAAGACGCTCCATTCTGACATTGATGACGGGAACAGTAAGTTTTTTCACAGTCTGTACCTAAAAATCCAGCGTTACATTGACACGTGTAGGATTTATTTCCGTTTTGACAAGTTCCATGGTCAGAACAATTTTGATTATAACAATAATTCTGTATCTCACAGTCTTGTCCAAGAAAACCTTCATCACATGCGCAAGAGTAATTAGTTTTTTCGTTGTGACAGGTACCATGATTTGAGCACTGCTTATCATAACAGTGATCTACTTCTTCACAGTTTGTTCCGAGATACCCTCCATTACACGAACAATTATATCCCCTCTCTGTGTTAATACATTTTCCATGTCTGCATGGTTTATTATTACAGAAGTCTTTCATTTCACAGTCATTTCCACGAAATCCTTCATTGCAGACACAAGTGTATCGATCTTTGTCATTTTGACAGGTTCCATGACCACTGCAGTTCTGTCCATTGCAGTAATCATGTGTTGCACAAAGGACCCCTATATAACCAGTTTTACACGAGCATGTATAATTAGAATTTCCACTATGACAGGTAGCACCATTTTCACATGTAATATTAGAGCAATAGTCGTATTCACAGTTTCTTCCCAGGGAGCCTGGTTCACAATTACAAGTGTAGTTATGTAGACCGTTCTGACAGGTTCCATGTCCACTACAGGTTTGATGGTAACAGTAATCACGTGTTTGACAGTACGATCCTATATATCTTGGGGCACATTTACATGTATAGTTAAAGTCACCATTAACACAAGAGGCTCCATTCAGACATTTATGATGAGAACAGTACGTTTGTTTACAGTCTTTACCTAGGTATCCAGCCCTGCAGTGACACGTGTAAGAACTATGCTCGTTTTGGCAAGATCCAAGGTTAGAACAATTTTGTTTATAACAATAATCCCGTGTTGCACAGTCTTTACCAATGAATCCACCATGACAAGTACAATTGTAGGAATTCCCTGTGATGTGACAGGTACCATGATTCGAGCAGTGCTTATTATGGCAATAATCTATTTTATCACAGTTTGTTCCTAGATACCCTCCATAACAAGAACACTTGTATCCCATGTTTGTATTATTACAATTTCCATGTCTGCATGGATTACTATTGCAGTAATTTTTCAGTTCACAATTATTTCCTCGATAATCTGGTTGACAGCTGCAAGTATATCCACTTAGTCCATTATGACATGTTCCATGACCGTTACATCTCTGTCCGTGGCAGAAATCTCGTATTTCACAATGAGTTCCTTTATAACCTGGTTTACACGAACATGTATATTTAGAACTTCCACTGTGACAAGTTGCACCATGTTTACAGGTATTATTGAAGCAATAGTCATGTTCACAGTTACTCCCTAGGAAACCAGGATTACAGATACAAGTGTAACCATGCTGCTCGTTCTGACAGTGTCCATGTCCGTTACAGTCCTTTCCATGGCAATAATTACGCACTTCACAATGACGTCCCATATAATCATCAGGACATGAGCAAGAATAATTTGAGGCTCCACTTTGACAGGTACCCCGATTCCTACAGGGACTACTAAAGCAATAATCATGTTCACAGTTTCTGCCTAAATAACCAGGATTACAAGTACAATTATAATTATTTTGACCGTTCTGACAGGTTCCATGTCCACTACATTTCTGGTGGTAACAGTAATCACGTGATTGACAGTACGATCCTTTATATCCTGGAGCACAGCTACACGTATAGTTAGTGGCTCCGTTTACACAAGAGGCTCCATTGAGACATTGATGATGAAAACAGTAAGTGTGTTCACAGTCTTGACCTAGGTAACCATTCACACATTGACACGTGTAGGAACTCCCCTCGTTTTGACAACTTCCGTGGTTAGAGCAATTTTTATCATAACAATAATCCCGTCTTTCACAGTCCTTCCCGATAAATCCACCATTACAGGTACAAGAGTAAGAATTCACTGTGATGTGACAGGTACCATGATTTGAGCAGTGCTTATTATAGCAGTGATTATCTCTTTCGCAGTTTGTCCCGAGATACCCTCCATAACAAGAGCAACTATACCCCGTGTTTGTATTATTACAATTTCCATGTCTGCATGGATTACTATTGCAGTAATTTTTCAGTTCACAATCATTTCCTCGATAATCTGGTTGGCAGGAACAAGTGTATCCACTTCGTCCATTATGACATGTTCCATGACCGTTACATCTCTGTCCGTGGCAGTGATCACGTATTTCGCAATGAGTTCCTTTATAACCAGGTTTACACGAACATGTATATTTAGAACTTCCACTATGACAAGTAGCACCATTTTTACAGGTATTATTGAAGCAATAGTCATGTTCACAGTTACTCCCTAGGAAACCAGGATTACAGATACAAGTGTAACCATGCTGCCCGTTCTGACAGTGTCCATGTCCGTTACAGTCCTTTCCGTTACAGTAATCAACTTGATCACAGTTTGTTCCGATATATCCACTATTGCAAGAACAATTATAACCATTATTTGTATTAAAACAGTTTCCGTGTTTACAAGGATTACTGTGACAATAATTATTCCTTTCACAGTTATTCCCGAGGTATTCCGACTTACACAGACAAATGTAACCCTGCTTTACATTTTGGCAAGTCCCATGTCCACTGCAGCTATGTCCGTTGCAATAATTACGTATATCACAATTACGTCCAATGTAATCAGCAGGACATGAGCATGAATAATTTGAGGTTCCGCTTTTACAGGTACCCCGATTCTTACAAGGGTTGCTAGAGCAATAATCATTTTGACAATCCCTTCCTAAATAACCAGGATTACAACTACAAGTGTAGTTGTGTTGACCGTTATTGCAGGTTCCATGTCCACTACAGTTCTGATGGTAACAGTGATCACGTGTATGACAGTACGATCCTATATACCCTGGAGCACATTTACACGTATAGTTAGAGTGTCCATTAACACAAGAGGCCCCGTTCTGACAATTGTGGTGAAAGCAATAAGTTTGTTCACATTCTTTTCCAAGGTATCCAGCATTACATTGACATGTGTAAGAATCACGGCCGTTTCGACAATTTCCGTGGTTAGAACAATGTCGGTTATAGCAATAATTCCGTGTCTGACAGTCTTTTCCAATATATTCACCATTACAAGTGCAAGTGTAAGAATTTCCTGTGACGTGACAGGTACCATGATTAGAACAGTGCTTATTAAAACAGTAATCTATTGCATCACAGTTCGTTCCTTGATACCCTCCATTACAAGAACAATTATATCCTGTGTTTTTGTTGCTGCAACGTCCATGTCTGCATGGATTACTATTGCAGTAATTTTTCAGTTCACAATCATTTCCTCGATAATCTGATTGGCAGGAACAAGCGTATCCACTTCGTCCATTATGACACGTTCCATGGCCGCTACATCTTTGTCCGTTGCAGTAATCACGTGTTTCACAAAAAGTTCCTTTATAACCAGGTTTACACGAACATGTATAAGTAGAATTTCCACTATGACAAGTAGCACCATGTTTACAGGTATTATTGAAGCAATAGTCATGTTCACAGTTACTCCCTAGGAAACCAGGATTACAGATACAAGTGTAACCATGCTGCCCGTTCTGACAGTGTCCATGTCCGTTACAGTCCTTTCCGTTACAGTAATCAACTTGATCACAGTTTGTTCCGGTAAACCCTTTATTGCAAGAACAAATAAAACCAGAGTTGGCATTTGAACAGTTTCCTTTATGACACGGTTTACTATGACAATAATTAATCAGCTCACAGTCGTTGCCAAGATATTGAGCAGTACACTGACACGTGTAATTGTTTGGTCTGTTTTGACACTGTCCTCGTTTACTACAGGCCTTTCCAAAACAATAATCGTACGTGCTACAGTTCTGTCCCAAGAAATGATCAGTGCATGAGCAATTATATCCAGAATCGGTATTAGTGCAAGATCCAGAATTTTGGCAGGGAGTCGTTGCACAATAATCAACTTTATCACAAAGTTCTCCCATGAAGCCCTTGTCACAATGGCACGTGTAGTTAGATCCAGTTATCACACATGTAGCACCATTCTGACACCGATTGTTAGCACACGAGTTTTTTATTGAACAGTCAGTACCGGTATATCCATTGTTGCATATACACACTACTTTGCCATGCTTAACATGACAGTGTCCGTGATTATTACACGTATTACCGTGACATTGGTGGGCAGTCAACGAATCACAGTTTTTACCTGTTGTTCCGTTTCTACACTGACACACGTAACTTCCGATCTTGTTGACACACTCTCCTCCATTACACGGTTCTAGAAGACATTCATCCTCATCAAGCTGACATTTCAGACCGTAAACAGAGGAGGGACATTTACAGTGGAAACTACCAGCTGTGTTTGTACAGGTACCGTGTCCACAAAACTGTCGTGTAGCACACTCATCGATGTCCTGATCGCAGTTATTTCCACGCCAACCTGCAATATATTATCTACCATAATTGACCATGATAAACATTTTAGCAGATGTACCTTAAATGACCACTGTCTTAAATCAATCAAATATTTAAAGATTTGATTAAATCCTGTACATGAGGGATGAAAATAGATTAAGTTTCCATTTCTGAAGTGTTATTAAAGACCCGTTTAGATGCGCTTTTTAACCAGGCTGACAAATTCTGTATGTAATTAAATATCGGATAGAAATCGACCTTATCGTATGCAAGGTTGTAATGAGAAAGAAACGAATCAAGTTGAGAAGGATTTCCCAGTATTTTTTCTGCACAATTTATTTGTACTCAAGATAACAAAAACTTTCATATAGACATTGTTACAAAATATTGCTTATTGCTTTTCTGTAATTTTTAAATGTGTAGAGAATCTAATACGATGCAGCAGAGTTGTAGAAAATTTCATTTGATGTTCTTTTCTAAATAATTTGACGGCTAAAGTGGATCTAAAACTAAAATAAAATAAAATATTTTGGGGGAGAAAATATCAAAACAATGAAATCAGAATCCTTTCTTTCTCAGAAAATATTTATTCTGTACTAAATAGAGCTATCATAAATATGTCATATAATTATCGTTTTGGTAGTTACAAGGATTTTGAGATTACATTACAGAATGGACAATATGTAACATTCCAGGTGTCTTTCGGAAAACTATAATTCCAGAAGTTTGGCTTCCTAAAGAATTATATTGATTTTTTCATCAATAACATAGTAATATTCGATTAAAAATGGGGAAAAATAGAAATATGACAGAAGAAATTCGGACTGTAAAAATTAATATGTTCATGGCCAAAACTCTAATCGTTTATTTGTGTGGTCAACGTTGTTCCGTTTCTATAATAATCCATTATTTAAAGAGATTGTTTCTTATTACTAGTATATTTTGTGAATGGAGGAAAACTAGTTAATATGTGAAAAATTGTGTTATTTTCCGAGAAATACCCAGGGGCTGCTGGCATGAAAAATTGGTCATGTACCTAAATTTATTTAAAAATGAAAATTAAACACAAGAATCATAGGTGTTAAATGTGCAATAGACGGTTTTTCGTTCTTATCAGTGATGTTTTTGTCAACTGAGTAAAGGTATACCTTATTCAATTACAAACTTACCCATTTTACAGTAGGTATGGATATCTTAGCTTACCGATTTTACAGTAGGTATGGATATCTTACCCATCTTACAGTAGGTATGGATGTCTTACCCATTTTACAGTAGTTATGGATATCTTACCCATTTTACAGTAGGTATGGATATCTTACCCATTTTACAGTAGTTATGGATATCTTACCCATTTTACAGTAGGTATGGATATCTTACCCATTTTACAGTAGGTATGGATGTCTTACCCATTTTGCAGTAGATATGGATATCTTACCCATTTTACAGTAGGTATGGATATCTTACCCATTTTACAGTAGGTATGACCGTTGACGACACACTTCTGTGGATTACCAGGACAATGAGCTGTACAGTCTGATCCGTAGTAACCCTCAGAACAGTACGCCTTGTACGTTATCTGAATACTGAAATAAAATGTATTGTTTATGGAATTATATGTATTTTTTCTGTACCTATTTTATATAATATATTTATATAACTTGTTTAAATTTGATTGAAACATAGAAATGTAAGTAAAAGTATGACTTAGATACATTTAATAGTATGTATAAAAGATTAAAGAACCTAATATTCATAAAAAAAATTCTTACAAGAAAGAATTTTTATCCCTAAAATAATTAGCTGTCAATTTCTTTTGTCGCCAGTGTTGTGACAGTATATTGTTTCCTATTTGTAGATTGGAGTCAGAGAACTCTATTTGGTAGATGAGTGGTGAGGAGGAGTGTTGTAAATCTACCACTCTCATTGATATCTTGTCCAAATATTTTTCCTGGGTTTAAAACATAACAAAGAGTTATTGAATATATCTGACTGCCTCAGAAATTATTAATATAAAGCTTTTCTACATGTTCTGGTGTATATATTTGTGTTAAATAAAATTTACCCATGAATCAATTTCTAAAAACTGCGGGTTGGTTGTATTTCCGACTTTAGAACCATAGAAGACGTCTTGTCGTCTCATGTCTAATGTTGTGGTAAAACTTGACACACAGGAATGACTTCTGTCTCTGTAGCAATTAAAAATGAAATTATTCAAATATGTGTGCGGATGTTCAGTAGGTTGTCAAAGTGAAAAAAGTCAAACATCACTCACTTGAGACATACGGTGAGTACAGGTTTACACAACTTGGTACAATGGGTACCGACCACACCCTGACAACATCCCCCGCCGTGAAGTTTATTACCGGGACTCTTCACTTCATCTATGTGGATGAAGAAAGTTATCTTCCCAGTTGTAACCTTGAAATGTACAATTATGTAAAAGAACTAGCTGATATCAATTATAGATTTAAACTTTAATACATAAGTTTTCTTTTTATCATGCTTTATCATACGAGTTATTTAAGTTACAATTCTTGCATAGCTCCTCGTATCTATGTTATTCATAGGCGTCGAAACCGGGGGGTTAAGGGGATCTTGGCCTCCGCACTTTTTTTTCAAAGAAAGACATCATATAAGCATTGAAAATTTGGGCTAACCCTTTTCCTTTGGTTTAGACCCCCCCCCCCCCCCCAAACACACACTTTCAATTTGCTTTCGACGCCTATATTTTCGTAAGTAGAAATTGTTTAGGTGTCACTTAATAATTCAAATTTCATATTACAAAAGTCGCTGACAATACATACCTTTAAAATATAAACGAAAAGCAATAAACACAAAATATGCCTTTTCCAAGCCATATTTAAATTGATATCATTAGATTAGAAACATTGATGAACGAAGTTATCAAAACTATTGATAAATGTCCGTTGTTTATTTTGATTACGCCTTAATCAAATAGGATAATATTCAGTCGTGAGCAGAAGTACTATATACACAGTCTGTCTCTTGACAGACACATTAAGTGTTACAGACTTTATTTTGTTTCTGAAAAAAAGTTATGAAAATATTGTGTTTCCAACTACACTGTATAAACCACAATTTCTTTTCAAAATAGACACTTAATTCAAGTGCAGTTTTGCAACATTGTTGGCTCTAATAAATAAGGAACCAGGTATTCATTGTAAACAGCGAGAGTTCGAGATCTTCGTTCGATTAACCTTTTGTATTTAATTGTGATACTACCCACATCTCAAATTACATTTACACGTTTTTTTGTTAATAATAGTAATCAAGGCACACAATATGACATTTAATACCTTGAAAACCTTGATTTTTATTTTTAAGATAAAAGTTGTGTAAGTAGTTCATAACTCATCAGAAAGAAACCATCAAACAACATTAAAAGAAAAGAGAGAAATATTCAGATATACTTGGGGTATTACCTAGATAACCTGCATTTAAACTTCTAGGTCGGCGCAGCAGAGCAACCCATTTCTTTTTCTTTATTTATTTTGCACACGCGTCTAGCAGATTAAGAAATATTCCCACCCCCTTAAATTCAACGGGAATATCCTATATATTACATATGCATCTGTTACAAGCTTTATTATCTTTACAGACCGTCACAGAAAATCTTTAATTCCGCAATATCAATCAACCTTGGTTAAAAAAGAACAGAACAGATTTACCCGTCAGCTTTGATAAAATAAGCTTTATCATTTTTACAATGGTTTTAATAGCGTTTTTACAGACTTAATCTAAATGTCACATCGTTAGTTTTACAAAATTTAGTTATCTAAGCATATAATAATTTAATTTTATAAAAATGATTATCTTTAATGCTTATTTGTGACATATATGCTTGAATTTATTTATCTAACAATTAATATTTAAACAGCAAAAAAGGCAAATGTTCTTTAGTATTTATTTTAGGAATATTAGTGTCAATCCTCTGGCTCAAAGGAAGTCAGACTCATATATGAGGTAAATGCATAAATTCCGTCATCAAGAAAATACAGTTTTGCTCTTGCCTACTTTCAAGTTACAAAAACGTTTGTGCATGTTTCCCTGTCTTAGCATTTCAAATCGTCTTTGTTTTGACTTGACTTCATATGTTTTCTGAACATATAAACTTCTTCATTTATATTTCCTAATTATATTTAAATAAATTTTCATAACAAGTTCACTTGTGATACAAAGTATTGCATTTTCTGTGCAATACCTAGATCTCGGTACCATTTAGAAACACAACAGTGCAATTAATGTCCCCAAAATACTTACAAAAGTCAGATTCAATGTGCTACCGCAGTGGAGAATTATTCCACGTAAGGATATTTTACAAAATGTAAGGCAATGAATTAAGAGTGTTTCAGATGTCAACAAGTCAGCCATCTTTCTAAACAATTAATGCAGGAACTTTTGTACAAAGCAAATGGCCATTCTTTAAGTGAAAAAGAAGTCAATGCACCAAAAAGAATGTGACCAAAGACGCTGGAATGAATTCAAGTCTCAACGCACGTGCGCCATGAAATTACACTTTTACAACATTGAATGTCGGTCTGAGTTTGAAATTGCAATCAATCCCCTCCCATGTCCACAAAGTCTTTAGCTACATGTAACCAACGCCGTTTGCGGAATTTAAAGAAAACCATTGAGAGTCAGCAAGAACAACAACTTACATCCTATCCTTAGAGAGTAAATTTCTCGTTGCGTGGAAGAGAAACAATGATGGAAATGATTCAGAAAGAATTTGTTCATCAGAACTGGAAGACAAATGAACGATGGCAAACAAAGAACAAACCCTGGAAAAAGCCTGGAAAAGAAAATTTAACGAATGGACACTGAAGATTTTGAACTGAGGAAAGCCCTCCGGTCTGTTTCAGATCGGCTGGTAGCAAATGTTCTATGAGGTTAGTACCAACGGTCCGCTGTGTTCCAGTTCCTATTCAGAAGAGAAGTGTCCGAACCAACACGGATTCTTAGAAGCTTAAGTAAGTCAGCCACGCATCCACAGAAATGCCAAGTATGGAAGGATACAGATCGGGAAAAAATTGGTACCCCTTACGTCCTTTGCTATGTCCTTATCATAGAGAAGCGGAACAGTACTAAAAGAAAAAGAACAAAATGTAATAATGCGTCTTACTATCCCGTATCATCATATCCCCATATACTGGGCACGTATGAACCTTCACAACAACAACGTTTTGCACCCTGTCCCCTACATACGGGCAGATTATTATGCCCCATTTTATTGATAGTGATTTAAGCTCGAGTTATCAGTGACTTTTTGCGAAATGATTTGAACTTATAAAAACATTTTAAGAGGGTCGATTAGGGTTTCCACTGCGCAACATTTCGCGCATCATTGAAAAATGAAGCTTATTTACTATTTTAAAGCATTTTTCTCTCACTTGATTAAAAAAAAATAAACAAAATTGAGATTAATATACTACAGGTGAAAAATTTAATATGTGTATGTGTATGTCAGTGTGTAAGCGTTACAAATCGTCTTTGTTTTATTGACTTGATTTGATTTATTTTTTGGACATACAAACTTCTTCAATTATATTTCCTAAATTATCTTTTAAAAAAATTAACACAAGTTCACTTGTATTATAAATACAAATCTTTCTTTGAAACATGTAGGAAAATACCCAAGTCAGTAAAATACTAGTTATATTAATTAATCTGTTTCTAGTATTAAGTCTCTTCCTAGACAGATTCATTTGTTCGTTTTTTAGCCATTATAAATGGTGGATTTTGAATTTGCACAACACTTTAAGTATTGATAAATATAACAGTCATGCATTGTATCATAATTCGATTCAAGATATCTCACATGACAAAATCAAAAGCCTGAAAGGCTTCAATGGCGTCGAACAAGAAAAACAATTTCAAAAGATCTGCAAATAGGTCAAGTGAGTGACTCCAGTAACATATAATAATAAAATTTAAAAAAAAAATAGTCTTAACACAAATACAGTATAGGGCCTGATAGCCTTGTGTCCTGGTCCGAATGAGTCAGGGTGCGAATTGACCAGACATCGTCAGAAATGTCCATCCTCTATATCAATCTAATTTCTTTTCAGTCAATCGAAGATATATGAAGGGTTTCATAAATTATTTTAATTAATTGCCATTGTCAGAGTGTTGTTCTGTTGTATAGTGATTGCATCTTAACTACAACCATAACTCTAATGTTACAAGTACGATCGACTTACGATAAGCATGATAAGGCGCGGTAAACAAATGGAGGAAATGGATAAATACAGTAATACTGGCATTACTGGTCAATATCGTAGGTTGTTCGGCTAAAATTGGATTGAAGATCGTAAATGTACAGCTAAGATTAAGAAATTCAATCTTTATAGTCTTGTTATATTCGTGTTTATTTTGTAATTATTTTACCGTATTTAAGATTGTTTGTATTACAGTAATCGGTCCCAAAATGTGATTCATGTCATTCGACGCACCCTCTCAGTAGAAATTCATCCGCAACAACCATAACGTTTTTCTTGCGTAAAAATTAAACATAATATCGTTGTTTTGTAGTAGTATTAATTGAAGATACAATGGATTTAATTTTATATTCAAGCTATTATTCATTGTGAACGTTTTAAAAGAAATTGGTTTACAGCTGTTGCTATTTTCTATTGCGGATGCATCCACTGACACGTGCGGTCGCGTAAACCCGACTGATCGCTAGATGACGATCGGGCAAGCCCGACGCCATAAAAAAATTAACTTTGAGATTTCATAAATTGTAGCTAATTGCGGTTGTTTGAATTCCTAAAAGGCAAAAATTAGACAATTTTTTCATCTCTGCAAGTAATGTTCAACCAAGCCTTTTTCTTTATACCTCACTAAGATTAACAGTAATGAAGAAGAAACTTCAAGAGTACTATGCAACGATGTGGATACTTTAAAATTCCAAGGAACCTTTGGACAACTTGAAATCACAAGGTTTCATCAATATAAACAGCTAAAAAATACATGGATTTTCAACTTTATACATGTATTTCCCACGCCAAATTAAGTCTGGGCTTTTTTATTTCATTCACAGCTGCTTTTTGGATAAAAATGGAACTAATATATCAAATTATCTTGTCAGCGGTCATTTACCAAATAATTTTGTTTAAAAACATTCTTATTATACACACAAGTACTCTGAAGTGACAACAAAGAGATGATTTAGTCAAACTTAAGTGGTTTTTGTAGAGCAGACCTTAGAATTCCCATTGGTACCAACCCCTTTACGTCTGCTCCTGATCATGATTGTAAAATGACTGGGAAACCGTAGACAATGCAGTGTGTAATTTATGGCCTAACAAATGAAAAAAGACAATCGGCATTTGATTTCATGATTGATTGTATTTGCTGACATGGTCATTGCATCAACAATAGAATTTACGAAATTATGACTTTAAATGAGATTGCTAATATTCTTCTTTGTCAATAACTTACATTGTTTTAGAAATTGTTCATACGGTAGAGGTTGCCGGTGTAACGACGAAAAGTGACCCCCATAGAATATTGACCGGGGGTCATTTTTCTACGTAGAAATTTGACCCCCTGGTCAATATTCTACGTAGAAAAATGACCCCTTTTTCTGTAGAAATCATGGCCTTGGGGTCATATTTCTCCGTGTGCATTGTAGAAAATTGACCCCGTAGATTAATGACCCCCTGTCATTTTTGATGCCAAAACAATTCATTTTAGAAGGAATATTCTTATTAGGCATATGCAAGCGGGTAATATCAAGCTGACTTATGCTTTAAAGTGTTAATTTCTGAAAGCTTTTAAGCTAAGATAACAAAATCAAAGCGATAAAATACCTTGCATTAATGATACAAACTGTTTATCTCCACTAGAGGAAAACGGTATCAAAATGTTCTAACCCAAAGGCTATAGGAGCAGAGATACGAGAATTCATAGAAATTTTTATTAAATTTTATACCAGTAATTTTAAACCAGTAAATAAGTTTCCACGGTTGCCATTTTAATTCTAAAAATGGGTTATTTCCACTAGAGTTCGTTTGTACCAAACCAAATCTCAATTCTCTCTGGCGGAGAAGCAGAGGACTATGGGTATTATGGGTCATTTCTAGCTGACAGTATGGTGTCAGAAAGAAAAGTTTCCGTTATTAATCAATAATGAATCTTTTTTATTTTACCCTGGATATATAATTTTTCAAAAGTTTAAAGTTTTTTATCCATATTTTTAAAACGGGCACGAAAAAGTGTTCCAACATAAAAAAATCGTATAAAAATATTTGATTTTCTATGAATGAAGTTTCAAACTTCTTTTTAAAAAAATAGGGATAATTTAATTTGTAAAAATAAGTACTAAATTAAATTGCCTCTGAACTTTATGTATGATACAAGGAAAACAAAAAGTGGTTAGCTCAAAACCTGTAAAATGTCTTTTGTCGTTTGCTAGTGTTAACAAAATAGGGATTGTAGCATAAAACATGATTAAATAAAAAAAATAATAATAACTAGAAACTCTTGTTGCTACAGCAACAAAGAAGGTCTTCCGTTCTCCTCTATTTATCTGTAAGAAGGATAGTTTTATAAAAGATATTTATGGGAGAGTAAGAAACTCAACTTATGCAGTTTTTTCTCATAACCAGAAGTCGTCGTTTTTGTTTCCAATAGGACTGACATATTTCGAAACTACTAGTAAAAAGCTATTAAGGTAATACTAAGAAAGATTCCATAAAGAAAAGTTTAAAATTTTGATTTCTTTGATCACTTCCTGTGACAACCGGAAGTGACGGTGTATGATCTTAAACTCAAAGGATTTGTCTACTCATCAAGGTCTACCACCCCTAGTAGTTTGGTGTCTTAATCTCTTACCGTTAACGAGATCTAGTAATGATAACTTCTGATTTTGAGGACAGGAAGTCTCGCGACAGGAAGTGAATTTTACTGAGATATTAGACATTACTGTAGACATTTGCAGTCTGAATAACATATCCAAAAATCATTACAAATACTTTAACTATAAAAAGTATTTATGGGAAAGAAAAATATTCAAATTATATAGTTTTTTTCTTTTAACCGGAAGTTGTCGATTTTGTTTCCAGTGGTACTGGCATATTTCATAACTACAAATAAGATGCTATAATGTATTACTAAGAAAGATTCCATAAAAAAATGATGTTTTTTATTTATTTGTTCACCTTTTGTGACGACCGGAAGCGACTGCTGACAATGTTTACCCAAATGAATTTGCCTACTTATCAAGATCTATCACTCCTATAATAATTTATCTAAAAAAAATATTTATGGGAAAGAAAAATACTCATAATAGGTATTTTTCTCTTATAACCGGAAGTTGCCGTTTTTATTTCCGGTGGTAAAGACATGTTTCAAAACTACAAATAAGGTGCTATAATGTGATGCAAAAAAGTTTCCATAAAGAAAAGTTGAAGTTTTCGATTTCTTTGATCACTTCCTGTGACGACCGGAAGTGACGGCGGACAATCTTATTCCCACTGGTTTTGACAACTCATCAAGATCTACCATTTGTAAAAAGTTTGATGTCTTAATCTCTTACCATTTACGAGATCTAGCCATGATAAATTCTCATTTTGAGGACAGGAAATCACACGACCGGAAGTGAATTTTAAAATGAATTTGACGTTACTGTAGATATTTGCAGTCTAGATAACAATACATACCCTAAAATCATTACAAATACTTCATCTATAAAAATATTTATTGGAAAGAAAAATACTCAAATTCTGTAGTTTTTCTCTTATAATCGGAAGTTGTCGTTTTTTGCTTCCGGTGGGACTGATATACTTCAAAATAACAAATAAGATGCAATAATGTGACGCCAAAAAGGGTTCCATAAAGAAAAATTGAAATTTTCGATTTCTTTGATCACTTCCTGTGACGACCGAAAGTGACGGCTGACGATTGTATCCCAAATGAATTGATCTACTCATTAAGATCTACCATTCCCATAAGTTTAGTGTCTTCATCTCTTACCGTTTACGAGATCTAGCTATGATAACTTCTCATTTTGAGGACAGGAAATCACGCGACCGGAAGTGAATTTTACAAAGATATTTGACGTTACTGTAGATACTTGCAGTCTAGATAACATATCCAAAAATCATTACAAATACTTTATTTATAAAAAATATTTATGGGAAAGAAAAATACTCGAATTATGCTTTTTTCTCTTATAACCGGAAGTTGTCGTTTTTGTTTCCGGTGGGACTGATATATTTTGAAAAAGCAAATAAGATTCTATAATGTGATGCAAAAAAATTTTCATAAAAGAAAAGTTGAAATTTTCGATTTCTTAGGTCACTTCCTGTGACGACCGGAAGTGACGACGGACAATCTTAACCCAAATGGACATGCCTACTTATTAAGATCTATTACTCATATAAGTTTGGTGTCTCTATCTCTTACCGTTTCTGAGATATGACTTAGACAAAATTATTTTGGAAAAAGCGGAAATCGGACAAATCTGACGACCGGAAGTGAATTTTGAAAAAAAGAAAAAAACGCCTGGGCGTATTTTAGTTCCCTATCATCCCTGAAAATTTCATGAAAATCTGTCCAGCCATCTCTGAGAAATCTTGCCGACAAGATTTGGGGAAAAAAAAAAAATAATAATAATAATAAGAAAAAACAGTAGAATCACTATAAGGTCTTCCGTCTGAAACGGAAGACCTTAATAAGTCCCCATCTTTCCAAAAAAAAGCACATGTAGTATCGTTTTCCCCGTTCTATCATGTACATAAAAATACATATGGTGATTTTAGGAGTTTTTAACCAATAGAAAAAAAAAATTAGATGATGAAAAAGTTGTTACTTTACATGATATACTTATGCCCCTGTAAACGAAATTTCCGGGGTTTTGCCCCTGAAGACGAAGTTTCTGGGGGTATATAGCATTTTACCTGTCCGCTTGTCTGTTTGTATATTTTTCTGCAAAACTTGAACCTTGCCCATGCCCATGACTGGGTAAGACTACGGCTTTCATATTTCACAAGTGTATTTTTGTGACAAGACCTTTTTGTGTACAATCAATTTTGA